ATTTACTTTACTTTGTGGACATGGTGAAAAAAAAGTTACGGAAATAAAAATATAGATAAAATACCAATGTTTAGGTTACATAACCTCCCCAGAGGACTGTAAACACAACATTAACGGACTACGCAAACATCTTAAAGATTTCGGTGAGGGCAGTAAAGAAGAGGGTGACGGGAGACTCTTGGCCCACTCCTTTATCCCATATATTGTCGTTTCTTCACTTTGGTCTTCACACAAATCATAAGAAGCTTATGTCTTGGTCAGGTTAGGTCACGTAAAATAATATTATATTCAATATCTTGTTTCAATGCCATGAATCCAAATCCAGTTTAAGAGCATGAAAAATAGAGAACTATAATAGTTTGGGCGTCCTGACCAACACTGCCAGTCACGGATTGTGTGCGGTGGAGTCCATTGGTCCAAACTGACATCCTCATTGAGGAAGCAAAATATGATTTATATCCGGTGTGATTAAATTGCAGCGGCATAGCCCAACTGGCTCACAACTACCCAGATTATACTGCACAGTACCTAACACAGTGTGACAAGTGGCGCCACACACACTTGACAGCACCCTGGATTGACTCATATGCTTGGGTATAGATCACATTGTCAGGGACAGTAATGAGGGAATACCGGACAAGCGCCGAGGACCTAAAACAAAATGTTCATGAAAGAAAAAATGGTTCAAAAGATCCAGACATTGACCCTTACCTCGTGGGATGAAAAACGTTTTAATAAAGTTCCCAAGAAATATATTCATAAGTGCGGTCCTTCACAGAGTTTATGACCAGGTTTACCAAGTTTGATATTTTTTTCTTCACAATAACTCTAGTCTGTCCTTATAATAGTTTCTCTTTCACACACGTATTTTCTTTTTCACATTAACGCAACGATAAACGATGTAACACACTATTAATAAATCACCTTATGAGGCCTCGGTCGGTGAAGGTTGTTTAACTAACCTCAGGTGAGTGTAAGGTAGGGCGTTCAGTTTTATAAATTGATAAAATGCATTATTCTATTATTGTTATATGTACGCTTGAAAATATTTGATCTAATAATTATCCATAAAATTTATATAATGTACTTTTTATTGACTGTAATCACAAAACCCAAACATCTTTCGAAGAATTATGATTGGTTGAATATGGCAAACCCAACTATCATGTCTTCGTATAAATAAATTATTGACGCGTTCCGCATCAACTACTTTAATATCAATAAATTTCAATTTTCCTGCCATGTCAAGAAATCACATATAAATTTTCGTCCTGGGGAAGTAAATCTTACTTACCCATTTGCACTAAGATGTTCCCAGACTAAACCACACAATGTCAACAGATTATCCCATATATCATAATCGACCTTATAAGATAAACGATAAACCTTTTGGCGGTTTTATACATATTAAAAAAATTCTAATAATATAAGCAATATAATAGTACAGTATTGGGTCTATTAAAAAGATTATATGCACTAAATATTTTCACTAGAACAATAGCTGATATATTTCCTGCACATATAACAATTGTTTATATGATTGTAACTTTATAAATTGTTCATCATAAAGTTTCCATAATGCGTTTCATAGTCTTAATTCCAATTCATATATACTGTACTCATGAAAAATATGTAGGCTACTCTAACACAATATATCCTACGTTATCCTTGAAGGTACAGTCACCCCTGGAGGTACTGTATCACCCCTGGAGGTACTGTATCACCCCTGGAGGTACTGTATCACCCCTGGAGGTACTGTAACACCCCTGGAGGTACTGTATCACCCCTGGAGGTACTGTATCACCCCCAGAGGTACTGTATCACCCCTAGAGGTACTGACCAGCAGGAAGTGGGTGTAACAGTTATACTTGGCTCACGTGCTTTACTGTCCCTTCCTCACTCACCTGCCTCATTACCTGTTTCATTACCTCATTATCTATTTCATTACCTCATTATCTATTTCATTACCTCATTATCTATTCTATTACCTCATTATATATTTCATTACCTCATTATCTGTTTCATTACCTCATTATCTATTTACTTAACTGTTTCATTACCTCATTATCTATTTACTTAACTATTTCTTTACCTCATTATCTATTTCATTACCTCATTATCTATTTACTTATCTATTTCTATTTCATTACCTCATTACCTGCTTACTATCATCTCTCTCTCTTCCTTTGCGGTTCAAATGAGGGAAAAACATTCCTTGAACACTAAATGACAACACCTGGTAACTATAAAGGGATTCTGAAGTTAAAGAACAATTGGATATTTTAACATTTCTTTTTCTCGTATTTTTATCTGTGGTAAACTCTTTCTATGTCTCTCAGTCTGTCTCTTTCGTTAACTGTCTCTCACCTCTCCACTTCCCTCTCCTCTCTATGTTAGTCGACTTCCTTCTCTCCACTTCCCTCTACTCCCCACCTGAGCCTCCTTATCGTCATTTATGTAATAAGACAATGTAAATGAATACAGAAGTATAACCTATAACGTAACTAAGACGATATGCGTTAGTCTGCCATAAACTTATTACTTTTTAGAGAAAATGATTATTCGTTTTCTATCGTTGGAAAGTTAGGGGTCTCTATCACATCTTGGGTTGCTTAGCAGTTTTCTATACGAAATTATATGCCACCTTAATAATAGTCATATATGCATCCATTTACATACCATTAGTCGGTATTATTTTGAGCTGGCTAGGGGAATTACAACATATTTTCACCGCTCTGACAGCTCAATGTTCGTAGACCAGATAACAAATTCCAAACGTCCACGATACTCAGTGAGCAGTTCGTCTTTGAACCTACCTCAGCAGCTTACATTTTGACGTCTGGTTATAATAAAACCATATTATCATTTAAATGTCTATCATATTCTCCGGCACTTTTATCTTTATGACTTTAATTTCTGAGTAAATTTCATTGCTCATTTCTCCTTATTTTTCGACTGATTGTATATACCATCTTGTAGGGATGCCATACTCTATATGAAAAAAAAAAACTGACATGTGCAGACACTTGAAGTAATCTATATCGAGCTGAGACTGTACCTCACATGCCACACCTGATCAGACCCAACATCCGGTTTACTTTACCATTTTTATGACCCCAAGCGTCAGTTTACTGTGCTCTTATCCCAAAGTGTTCATTTACATTGTTCATATAATAAGCACTATGGGTCCCTCCTTCCTTTCCTGCCATTATTTATCTATCGTCTTGCATTTATCTGAATGACTGAAGTGATCGAGTGTATTTTTAGAACCAATCTCGGTTTATTTGAAGATGCTTTTGTTCTTGTCAGTCTAAATGTCGGAACATTTTCATCGGCGAAAATACAATAAACATTTCTGAAGAAACACTCCTGGTAATACACAAATTATACAGGACAGAGGATCGATATCTCAACACAGTTACTGTTCATTCACACTAACTCTGCTTGCTGTCCTGTATTGCATGTGTACTCGTATGTACATGGTATGAAAGAAACTCCATTTGAAACCACATAATTGCATAAAAGATCAATCAAGTTTGTTCCGGGTTGCTCTGAGTCTTCATATAGCTCAGTTTCCGGCAATTGCAATGGTACAGGGAGCAGGAAAAAATATTCCCAGTGCCTGTCCAGTATCCAAGTTATTTAATTTTTGCTCTAAATTCGCGTGTTTGGTTCGATTACATTTAATTTCGGGTCAGAGGACAATGTTTCCAAAATTGTCAATCAAAAATCAATTCAGTATTACATTTTCTTTGACATTTCATATCAAATAACCCTGTTTAACATCCCTACTTTTTATTCAGAATACAGGAGTAACGTTACCAGCAACTGTACTGCCAATGTTCGTGTACTATAGTATGGTTATGCCGAGGCACACCTTAGTATTATAATTTTTGTGAATTAGTTCTTTTGATTATTTTCTATTCCAAGCAGCAGCTATTTTTTACAGGTTTTTGAAGATTTTCTTGTATATATTGACGTATTACGTATGTAGAAATTTTCAAGAAAGTACTGCCTAGATCATTCTAGAGCTCTCCAGGCATGTCTCGTTGCGACGGGCAGCGCCTAGATGTAGCAATATAAAGAGAAAAGACTAAGGAATTGTCCACTGGTAGTGTGCTGACGGTATATATTGGAAGTGAGAAGTCCAGTAATGAGGACATACCCTGTGAACAGTTTTTGTGAAGATTAAGTAATTATTAAAGAAGACTACAGTGCACAAGTGTGTTTCTACCTTCCTGTTGTCTGTCTGTACACTGACACCGATCGTCGGGGAATTACTGGAGACTGGTGGGACAGCCAGTGGTAATTAGACAACACTTGTGATATATTACTGCTTCTGTACATACGAACCTGGCCGCTGGTAGCCAGTGATGGAAGCTGGGTAAGAGGGGTGGAAAGGAAGGGTTCGTAACAGTGTAGAATATGGCAAGCTGCTGACCAACTATCAAATGTTTTTTATCCACTAGGATCAATTGCAATTGCATTTAAAGATGGAAATTTAACTTTACTTTAAGGTTGAACCTGGGTATAATATTGGGTCAGGATGTACTGTCAGATTTGAGTAGTTTAACACTGACGTCAGGTGTAATATCAGAAGCTCCAGTGGAAATTTTGCATCTCTTGAAAATACAAGAACGTCGCAACACTTAACAGCAGAGTACAGCGTGTCTACAACAGCTAAACTCCAGTAATAAATCAGTCAAGGATCTCCTGATGAGTAGACACCCCAAATTAGTTCACCTGAACATTAACCACCCTAATGCTAACCTACCCTAATCTTAACTAATTCCCCAGGATGGTTAATCTTCAGGTGAATTAAGCTAGAGTCTAATCTTCAAGTGAACCTCACAAGGCTACACAAACAACAGCCTTAGATGTAATATCACTAATACTACGTCAACAGCTGACATTTTGCGGGATTCACTGGTTACAGAATTTTGGTTGAATGTCATTCTACATTTTGTCTTACAGGTAAGTTCTGGAAAGAGAATTATACAGAATTTCTCAGTTTTATTGTAGCTAAGATGAAAAACTAGGAAGGACCGTATATATGCCCTTCGTAATGCTTGTAAAAGATAGTCGACCAGGAGAGCCATTAATACGATCTTGGAGGCTATCTACTTGTCTCCAAAAATTCCATACGATATACATACCTTGAAAAACTCTCTTGGATATCATTGTCTAACACCAAGAAAATGTCGTACTCGAGCTGTCTTAAACCTTCACGACCAGAGATTTGGGAGATTCTTATCAACTTAATTTCCCCGCTTCAATATCTCTAGAAAAGGACATTAGTTTCCTCAGCCAATTTTGAAGCCAGTAAAGGATGCGTATCCCCTGAACCGCGCGTCGTTCTCGTAGATGAATCCTTCAGCCAGATATACGTAGACAACGTCGTTCTTGTAGATGTAAATAATGACGCTATTGGCGGCTGTCCCGAAGCCGTAGTACTGAGCCTCAGAAGATGCCACACGCTGACGATTCCTCATCAGGTCCAGCCTGTAGGAGGGAAGTGAATCGGTCAGGGTATGGTGTTGGGTAGGTAGAAGTGGTACTAATGAGGGGCGGTGTTGCTACAGTTGTTGGGGCTCTAAGAGTAAGAATACCTCCCCTCCCTCTGTCTAGAAGGAAGGATAGCTCACCTGGCTCGACCTTGGAGTGGAGAAACACCGTAGACTGAGAAGTGGTAATACCCAGGACAGACACACTTGAAGTAGCCGCCAGTATGGTTGAACCCCGGGCCAACACTCGTCAGAACCTAAAAGAAAAACCATTAATGCTTGGCGAAAATTTCCCCAAAAATCCTGATTATTAAAACAGGTCATTTTAGTTGTGACTTTTTTACCTGCCAACAATATTGACATTACACTTGTTACCGAGAGTCATCACTGAATGAACTGTGGGTTTTTTTTATCAACATAGACAAGGGTCAAAGGCACGTCAGTGTTAGGAATAAATTAACCCCAAATGCAGAAGTCTCGTCATATGACTTTACAGTGTGGGTAAAAAATATATCTTGTAAAGGAAGACTTGAACACTCTCATCCTGTCACAGAGGTCCTGGACTGACTGACTCTTACCCTGTCACAGAGGTCCTGGACTGACTGACTCTTACCCTGTCACAGAGGTCCTGGACTGACTGACTCTTACCCTGTCACAGAGGTCCTGGACTGACTGACTCTTACCCTGTCACCTGGACTGACTGACTCTTACCCTGTCACAGAGGTCCTGGACTGACTGACTCTTACCCTGTCACAGAGGTCCTGGACTGACTGACTCTTACCCTGTCACAGAGGTCCTAGACTGACTTACCTTATCAAAGAGGACTTGGACGCCTTGGGTGCCGGCTTTCCTGTGCTTATAGTTGGCTCGGGACACAGAGAATGCCACAAAACCACACTCGGCGGCCCCTCCACCAGTGCCCCCTACTGCACCTGTCATGGGAATTAGATACGGTAGATTATCTTATTATAAGGACGAAAGATAATTCGATGGTTACAACAGCCCCCCCCCCCCCCTTTTTTTATTGTTGACATAAATATGGAGGAAAATTGATTGTCTAGACTAGATGTTTTGGAAACACAATAAAACAAAAAATGTGTGTGTGTGTGTGTGTGTGTGTGTGTGTGTGTGTGGCTGCATATTTGTACATGTGACTTCTGTTGTTATGTAAATGAGCACACAAGGATAATTTTGTCAAGTAACCTAACAATAGTATTAACACATGTGACTGAAATAATATTAAACTATATTAAAAAGAATAATTTTTCAAAGCAATGGTCGATACTATTTTATGTTGTGTTATGGTAGCGGGGATTATTTACACCGTTAATTATGAGGCGACAAGTTACTAACAAACCAGTATACTTCTTATTGCTATAGGAGTCAGTGTTGGAACTAACCTAAAGTGGCGGGGAAAGGGACCTCCGGGCGTGAGAGAGCAGTGCCGTTGGGAAGGACCTGCTGACTGGGGTACTCTGGGGAGCCCTGGTCGTTGGGCAGCACCTGACCCCCCAGCACCTCTTCCACGGGGTTGTTCTCCGGCAGAGGGGCTGCTACAGTGCCCGCCTGGAACAGCTGAGACACTGCGTTGGCGTAATAGTCCTGAGGAGAAGAAGTGGTGGTGAGGGTAGTGGTCCACCTACCCCCCTCCCAATCTCCACTCACCCTCTCCTCCACCCCTCTCCCACCCCACCCTCTCCACCCCTCTCCCACCCCACCCCCTCTCCCCCTCCACCCCTCTCCACCCCACCCCTCTCCCCACCCCTCTCCCTCTACCCCCTCCCCCCCACCCCCCTCTCACCCCACCCCCTCTCTCCACAATACAAAAGGAGTTTCACTTCTACTTGATGTTATAAACAGTGCCTTTCTTAACACAGTGCCTCTCTCTTAACACAGTGCCTCTCTCTTAACACAGTGCCTCTCTCTTAACACAGTGCCTCTCTCTTAACACAGTGCCTCTCTCTTAACACAGTGCCTCTCTCTTAACACAGTGCCTCTCCTCACTCTCCCTCCTTCAGTATACAGAACAAATACTCACGTTGTGTTCCTCGGGCGACGTCTGGTTGGGGAATATCTTAGCGAGGTCTTTAGGCCACTCCTGTAGGTCTGTGCCCGACTCTACCAGGAAGCCGGGCACAAACTGAGTCTCTGCCATTATTGTACCCCACGACAGGAGGACCAGCGTGACCACAACACCCTCCTGAAGAACCCCATAACGTGTTTAGTTCTCACAGCAGGTTCAGTACGGAAAATTCATCACAATATTACAGTATGTTAACATCACATTCATAATATTAATCGGTAACTGATGACGTGAAAAGCTTAATAAATCAGTAAATGAGTTAAGCTGGGAATCTATTATATAATCTGCCCGATAGTAGCATCTGGGTTGTGACTTTAATTCAATCATATATTAAAAATTTCAAGGTAGCTCAGGTAACGTGTAATTATCTATTAAATATAAGGTTTAGTTTGTTATTCTAAGAAGGATCTCTGTTATTTTTGCTATCCAGTTAAACTACATTTTTTTTCTCTGAACATCACTAGAATCTTTATATTATCTAAAAATTTTACATCTGCAGAGAAAATCAGAGTCTGTGACAACTAAATCAGCACACGCACAATTTCACGTCTCGGCGTCCCGGCAGACACTCCCATTTTTCTCCGCCTTAATATCCGGAAACTTCACTGGACTTGAGACTTTAATAAAGCCACGATAATGTATGATGCTATGGGGGCTGTCGAGACCGCTGCTCCCACCCCAGTGTTGTCGAGACCGCTGCTCCCACCCTAGTGTTGTCGAGACCGCTGCTCCCACCTCGGTGTTGTCGAGACCGCTGCTCCCACCTTGGTGTTGTCGAGACCGCTGCTCCCACCCCAGTGTTGTCGAGACCGCTGCTCCCACCTCGGTGTTGTCGAGACCGCTGCTCCCACCCCAGTGTTGTCGAGACCGCTGCTGCCACCCCAGTGTTGTCGAGACCGCTGCTCCCACCCCACTGCTGTAGAACCATCATGCACGGCGTCTTATGTGTTCCAGAACAGATGCCAAAACTCTTGAAAACATACACATTAAGTCACCTTGTTCGTTATGTGAGCTACCAAACACTGAATACTACTCGTAAACATAACTCCTCCTCCCAATGACCTTATGAGATATGACAACCAATACACATGAAGGCAGAAGATGGGGCTAAGTATCTGACAACTCTGGCTGTCATTATGGCTCCCTACCTGTGGGGACCTCCTCGGTGCCCCAGGTAATGAGTTTTCACACGCACTCTCAGGTAACATCCTGCCAGGGGTCACCGAGACACGAGGGAGGAGGGCAATTAACGGAGCAATGGGGTAAATAGGTCAGGCCACACACACACACACACACACACATACACACACACACACACACACACACACACACACAAACACACACACAGACACATACACACATACACACATACACACACACACACACACACACACACACACAGACACACACACACACAGACACATACACACACACACACACACACACACACACACACACACACACACACACACACACACACACACACACACATACACACACACACACACACACACACACACACACACTACCTCATCCAGAATATAAAGATCACAGCATCAATGACGTCAAAATTACACAAAAAAGACTTTATTATAACTAGATCTCTTCTCATATTAACGGTAAAGGATGAAGTTAACTTAATAAACACTGAGAAACTACAGAGACTCATCATATTCCGGTGAGATTCGTTTTTCTATGACTGAGGATGGCGCCAAGGGGTCACAGAGTCGCTCTCCATCCTGCCGATCTAGGCCGCACCGGCTTCTAAAAACAACTCGGTCAATGTTTAAGTATAATGTATTAATATAGCCTCAAGATATAGTCACAGCCTTTGGAGTCTGCCACATGGATGGAGGGTGTGGATGAAGGGGGGTGGAGGGTGGGATGAGGAGGAAGGATGATGGAGGGTGTGGATGAGGGGAGGAAGGAAGGAGGGTGGATGAAGAGAGGAAGGAAGATGGAGGGTGTGGATGAAGGGGGGGGGGTGGAGGTGTGGATGAGGGGAGGAAGGAAGATGGAGGGTGTGGATGAAGGGGAGGAGGGGGGTGGAGGGTTTGATGAGAAGGACAGGTGAGGGGTGGTGAGAGATTAGAGGTCACTAGGCCAGTGGGTGGGGTTGACGGTGAGACATCCGGATCACATTATAGAGGGTGTGTCTGGTGTGGGGGGGTGTCTGGTGGGGGTGTGTGTCTGGTGTGGGGGTGTATGGTGGGGTGTGTCTGTGTGGGGGGTCTGGTGGGGGGTGTGTCTGGTGGGGGGGGTGTGGTGAGGGGTGTGTCTGGTGTGTGTTGGGGGGAGGGGGGGAGGGAGCGTCTTTCATGAATGCTGTATCTGATTTTCTATATTCAGGAGCCAATTCGAGTTTAACCAACGCTTATCTTATATCATTATTACCAGAAATTATAGTTGGCACAAAAGAGAAGCGATTTATAACAATATCTACACACGAAACATGAATCATTTAAAATATGTTTCATTTTTGTTAACACGTCAGTTGTAAAAAAAAAAAAATATTGTCATAATTGTTTTTCGTTTGTCTCTACTTCATATTTTCACACTCCAGACACCACACTGCTGAAACATTGTCTGATTTCATACCTGGACACACTCCTTTGCGCCATGTACTGTAGGATTCAGTTGTACAGTCGCCAACAGGAAGAATCATCTCACTCTTCTAACTGTCAGCTGGAGAGATTCATTATGCTCTTAGTTATCAGTAATATGTACAGCACAGGATCATGGGCAGTCTTATCATGATTGTTTCAATATATGCTAACTCATCAATAATAATTTTTATCAAGTATTTTAATTAAGAAATACTTAGCACGGTTAAAAGAAATCCGAATTATATATGTAAAAACTATGCTGGTGGACGCGAAAAGTCGATAAAATTTTTAGTGTCCTGCAAATATAATTTTTTTAATATATCACAGCCTTACACTTACAATATGTCATTGAAATCATTAATCTCACGTAGAAATATAATTTTATACAAGTTATCCCAAACACTTTTCATTTTCTATGATTCACCATGGGTTGTCATGACAACCAGCGTAAATAACCCCCATGTGCCGCGCGGCTGTCTCGGGGAAGGTCGTGCTTCTGCTTTATTTATTATTAATTTAACCGAGTACCGCTCCTCATATATCTCCCGTCATCTGTCTATAACGTGGTGTAATCATCTGCAATTGTATGGAGGACATTCATCGTAAGTATAGCCAGAATTACTATTGTTTTAACTACAAACTCTCAAGTAGACACATTTACCACACCTTGAGATAAATTATGTTTGTTATTTTTTGTAACTAATCGATATTGATTCAGCCAGTTAAGGTAAGGCCTAACACTGATATATTAACAGCACTCGGGATATACTATAGAGTACGTCAGTAAAATCAGATATGTCGACAAGGCTCCGGGTCACACTGCCTCTAGATCAATATGCTACACGTCACCGCCTCTCTCTTCTCCACTCAATAATATACTTATGTGCATCATTAATTAATATAACTTAATCAAATAATTAAAGTAAACAACGTTCATGCAGCACCAGTTATTCTTATTCCTTTATACATCTTTAGATAAATGATAATTAGACTAACTTGTTTATCGTGGATGTTGTCATGTCAGAACTAATAAGGTGAAAAAGTGCCTCACAACAGCGACCTAAGATACACCTATCGTCTAAAAAATAAGTAAAACACAATATTCAAGGACGGTGAGTTTTATTCTAAGCTTCTCGTTACAGTAATCTTCAGACTCGGTAAATCTTGTATAGTTTTACCGGGTCTGAAGATTACTGTAACGAGAAGTTTGGGATATAACTCACGTGATACTTTTCACCGTGTGTACTGTACACACGGTGAAAAGTATGTGTACACAGTTTGTGAAACAATATGACACCAGGGACGATGTATACAGCAGTATGACCCTTGATGGCCCTGCGGAGTCATAATTACTGTATATCCATTAGTAGCGACATTTACTGTCTTATCCACAGTAAATGTTATATATTTATGTGAATATAAATATTGTTATCATATACACATTTAGACAAAGTGAATGAGTCGTGTGTGACCATTAGCTTATACATGGAACAATGTGCAGCATAAATATATTAGTTGTTAAACTGTGAACAATGTGTAGTGACGGTCATATTGGTGGTTACGTCGCGGTCGATTTCTGTTAATACAACAGGTGATCGTCAACGGCACCTAATATTGACTATCACTTCTGTTATCGATGACCACATTGGTAGCATATAACACCAAATGTTTCAAGGTGACTAAACTGACCTGGGGGCAGGGCTACCAACGTGGGTGTCCATGGTGTCTCATTGTTTAACACGGTGTGTGGACAGATACGTTTTTACCGTGTACAGTACACACCGTACATTGGTAAGTCAAAGACGAACTTGGTGTAGGTATGTGGAAGTAAGGGACGATCGTTTAGAACGAGGCAACAACACTCTAAACTACCTTATTCAGCAATCAGAGGAACCACCCCATTCACAGTCCGCTCCTAGACATGGAACTCTGCATAATCACGTCCCTCCTCCCGAAGGCACAAACCAACCATCTCCAGAAATAGTCAACTGAACTCTTGTTCCTCTGGAGCGACAGGCCCCTGGTATACCATTACCTTCGTTGTGTATTATAATAAATTAATTATTGTTATCATAACTGTTTAACTTCAATATTAATACACACTGTACAATACGTGTGTATCTTTTTGTCTGAACAATGTTTTTCTTTGCTGTATTTCAGGCAATAAGCCTCTTACCGTGGAGTACCAACCATCAACGTGTACGCTGCATCACAACTACCAGTGACAAACTACTTTTATAACTACACTTCAGAATCCAGAATACCGTCTATAGTTGCGATGAGGTGCCACTTATAAAAGTACACTGTGTGCACTAACCGGCCTGTGACATCAGCCTCAACATTAAAGATATCTTCTTAACGCCGTGGTCACCAAGATGAGAGGGATAGAGACCTCCGGCCCTACAAGATGTTCAACACCTCCCTCAGACAACTTCACCAACAACTCCTCCGTCAGCGCTGGCTCTCTCAAGAATGGCATAGGCCTCGCATGGGCAGTGTCCGGGGGCGGCGGCAGGAACGTGGGTGGCGTGAGTATGGGAATGGAAGTGGGCCTCGGACCAGGGACGATCAACATGACCAATGTCCTCGACTTCTTACTGACGTCAGCTCAGTTACACCGAGTCGCAGAGGCCACCACAGAGAAGGTATGTCTCGGGTGTGTGAAATATATTCCCTAGTTTATGTTATTGATCAGACATTTATTTTCTTCTTGAGAATCTTAATGGCGGTATAACATGACTGTGTAGCAGACCAGAGGTGTGTGTAATATAGCCTTGGGTGTTTACTGTATTTATGGGCGGAGTAATACTAGAGATGAGAGTGAGAATGAGTGAACCCAGCTTATTACACTTGAATATTAACTACAGTCGGAGCAGTCTGTGTCTCTCTGCTTGTTTCTCTGTCTGTCTCTGTTTATCAGTGCTTCTCTGTTTCTTTGTGTCTTATAATTGTCTGTTTATCTCTCTTTTTCACACACACACACACACACACATAAAACCTCCCCTATATGAAGTTCGTCTCACCTCCAGGTTCGAGCAGGAGGTCGACTCATCAAAGGCTCTGGAGGCCAAGAGGAACCTTTAGGAGGCCGTAGCAACGCCGCCCCAGCCTCTTCCACCACCAGTACCTCCACCACCACCACCACCACCACTACCACCACCACTACCTCCACCACCCTTTTGCCCTCCGCCGCCGACACCTGGGCAAGACTACTAAAAAACTCAGCAGCCTCGGCACAGGAGCAAACGTTGGCACTCCTCCAGATGGCACTACAGGTGAGAGAGAGTGGCACTATAGGTAGGGGAGAGTGGCACTATAGGTGAGGGAGAGTGGCACTCATCAATTCAACTCAACTCATCCTTCAACTCATCCTTCAACTCATCAACTCATCCTTCAACTCATCCTTCAACTCATCAACTCATCCTTCAACTCATCCTTCAACTCATCAGTATTTCTCTCTTCTCCCAGGATGGTTTGCTTGACTCAATCCTACCCTACATGGTCTCCTCTCTCAACTTGGGCGGCACACCCACCCTCACGCCCACCCAACCTGCCCCCAATCGCTCCCGCACACCCACGCCCACACCCAAGATCTCCTCCTCCTCCTCCAGTAAGGGCGGGGCGCTGGGGGTGTCCTCCGCCAACCACAGGTAAAGAGAGAGAGAGAGAGAGAGAGAGAGAGAGAGAGGAAGAGGAGAGAAGGAGGAAGAGGAGAGAAGGAGGGAGGGAGAGAAGTGGGGGAGGGAGGGAGGGAGGGAGAGAGGGAGGGAGGGATATCAAAAGAGAGATGGGATATTTGATGATAAGAGGAGAAGGAGGAGGAAGAAGGGAAGGAAGAGGAGGAGGGGGAAGGAGAAAGGAGAGAAACAGAGGAAGAAGGAACGAAAGAAGAATTTAGACGACAGGTAAAATAATAAGACAGTTATATACTAAAATCTTATATATTTTTATTTTTTTCCGATCTAGAGAACTGTTACCTAGTGGGTTAGGTTAGGTTACGGTAGGTTAGGTTAGGTTAAGTTGGGTTGGGTTAGGTTAGGGTGGTTAATCTTAATGTGAAAACAGTTGAGTGACTACCAACTTCCAGGCGACTTCCTTACGAATAGTGGACCCGTGATGCGTGTAATTGCTGCTACCACGTCAGCACTGGCGCCTAGTAACTCGCCTCGTGAAAACTCTAAGTCATAAACACCGCGTGTGACTGTGAGCCGGCGGCCACCTATTACTAATATGACGACAATAGCGAGAGATTATTGACGCCCAGTAAAACACCATACGAGGCCTTGGTTATGTTGGCACCCCTGATACTAGTTTGTACATGAGGCCTTGGTTATATTGGCACCCCTGACACGTGTTTATACATGAAGCCTAATTTGTCCTTAAGATTAGCCATCCTACCGCAAACTCTAACCTAACCTATAATAACCTACTACTACTTTGCTGTCACTCGGAATCTAGTATGACGATCATCCAGCTATGATACAATGATATGAGTTATTAGGGATGTCACCTAGGTTGGTGAGTTCTGAGGTGACTAGAGAGGCCGATACGGGACCGGCAAAGTCGTTCACAGATGTTGCACATGTGGCGGGCTACATCTAGTGCGGGGGGCCGGCAGCGTCACTCCGGCGGTGGCTTTTGTCTGCCTCGTTATACAGTCTTGCTAACTCGAAAGTATTGACACCTACTCGTGTGGTGCTCCTCCAAGCGTTACGGTGTGGAGTAATCGTCTCTCAGGTGAGTGGGTCGATTTGGCACTTTTTCAGGTTTGTCTTAAGACTATCCTTATACCTTTTCAGTTGCCCGCCAGCGTTAGTGTACTATTCGTTAGGTGATTGTAAAGTAGCTGCTTTGGCAGTCTACTGTCGTCCATGCGGGTAACATGGCCAGGCCAACGTAGTTGTTCATGGATAATGGTAGCCTCGATGCTCCTACAGTTGGTGTCAGTGAGAATACTGGCATGTGTTCTCTTGTCTTCCCAGCGAACTCGGAGGATGGAACCTAACCTAACCTAACCTAACCTAACCTGAACACCCCAGGTAGTATTATGGTGATTAATCTTAATAAAATGATAATGATGAATCACTTACACATTTCACAGATAATATTCCTCCACACACACACACACACACACACATCGGTTGCTATCCCTGTCCTGGTATTTTCAACATTATAATGCTATTGCTATAATAACAAATATTACTACTTCTGCAACAGCTACTAGTACTACTCTTGCTAGTACTAGTATAACTAATAGGAGGCGATAACCTTAGTCCTCGAAACCCATTAAAAAAATAGTATATCTTTATTTAAACATCTGAGTGAAAAGTAGAGTGTGCAGCTACTTCACTTAGAGTCGTAAATCCCTTTGAATAAACAGAGAATTTACACCCTACTGTTATTTAGAGATAAGCTGCTCATTACTGTGAAACATCAGCTGATTTATACTTGAAAATTAACCCCCCACCCCAGATTACTTGACCTGGTGGCAGATTATAAAGATTCCTGGTTGATTCATACGTCATAATCCATCTCTTTATTGTTCTACCGTCAATTACTCCCAGTTGATGAGTTGATATATATTTGTTCAGTACTATGTAATAAAATAATGGAGGGTCTAATTTTGTTGGCTGATTCGTGTTTTCTTGAAATTCTTTCGCCTTAAGCCACTCCCTGCTGTCGTGAGGGAGTGTGGCTGACGGAGAGCTTTTGGGTTGAGTAGGACATATTCCTCACCACGACCAAGTATGCGCACGTGTCGGGTGGTGAGGCCAAATGAAAACAAGTATGGTTATGAACAGTCTCACAAGTTACAAGTGCCACAGACAGTCACAGTCTTGGGGTAACTGTGAGGTAGGACACCACCAGTCAGCGGCAGGGTTCTTGACTGTCAAATAAGAAAGTTGGTAACTGCACCGCCACCGCTGCCAGCTGCATACATTGTCTCCGTCTTGGTGTACATTATATATTTACCTAACCTAACCCAAGTTGTTACTAAGATTATGAAGATGTGTTCGAGGCTCTGTATGTATTTATATATATGTGCATGTGTCTCCATGTATCTCTTTGCCTCTGTATGTGTCTTATTAACAACATTTGACCATTATATATGTCTTACTATATTCAAATTCTAATATCAGCATATTCTTGTATCATAGTAATCATAGTTTACATGTGCAGTATACCCTCACCTGACCACCCACTCTCGTCTTTTTGTGTGGTCCAGCAAGTCCCCCGCGAGAGACAGCCTGGCCAGGGACCCATCAAGAAGGACCCCCACACCCACCACTACCTCCACCCTTGCTACCCCAGTCCTTAAGGAAGACTCTCGTCCTCCCATGGCGCCTTCGGTCTTCAGGGGCGTGCCAGACAGGAGGTAAATAACCAGACATCACGTAGGATTGTTCATGTAGCCGCAGGTATAAAACTCGAAGGACTCAATATGTGAGTAAGACGTCAGGTAGATTTTTAAGGCCTATAGGATGTGTTAATAATATACCGATAATACAACACTGAAATAAATATCAATAACTAGCTTATATAACCATGATAACTGATAAGATAAAGAATACAGGCATAAGAACGATAAGTCAGATAAGGACAATGACAAGGCACATTAAGATAACATCAACATTTGGGGACTAAGGCAACAAGACAGGTTGATGGTGATAAAACATGATAGTGGCAGTGATGGTAGAGACACAACAACTGTAAATAAAGAGAATAATAATGAAAGAACATTGATGAATTAACCTTAGTGAAGATTATAAAGTGTAAGCATCCACACTCTCTCCCTCCTCCACCTGGCACTCTCTCCCTCCTCCACCTGGCACTCTCTCCCTCCTCCACCTGGCACTCTCTCCCTCCCCCACCTGGCACTCTCTCCTTCCTCCACCTGGCACGTCTCCCTCCTCCACCCTTTGGTCTCCTCTCCACCTGGCCTCTCCTCCTCCTCACTGCTCTCCTCCCCACTTTCTCCCTCCTCCCACCTGGCCTCTCTCCCTCTCCTGGCTCTCTCCCTCCCTCCCTGGCACTCTCTCCCTCCCTCCTGTCTCCCCTCCTCCCACCTGCCCTCTCCCTCCTCCCTGCTTTCTCTTCCCTCCTCCGCCTCCTCTCTCTCTCCCTCTCCCCTTCTTCCTCCTCCCACCTGGCCTCTCTCCCTCCCTCCACCTCCGCTCTCTCCCCTCCTCCACCTGGCACTCTCTCCCTCCTCCCACCTGCCTCTCTCCTCCTCCCACCTGGCACTCTCTCCTCTCCCCCTCTCCTCACTCTCTCCCTCCTCCTGCCTCTCTCCCTCCTCCCTGCCTCTCTCCCTCCTCCCACCTGGCACTCTCCCTCTCCACCGCCTCTCTCCCTCCCACCTGTCTCTCCCTCCTCCCACCTGCTCTCCTCCTCCTCCCCTCTCTCTCCTTTCTCTCTCCCCTTCTCCCTCCTCCACCGCCTCCTCTCCCTCTCCCTCTCTCCCTCCTCCCCTCTCTCCTCCCTCCTCCCTGTCTCTCCCTCTCCCCACCCACCATCTCCCTCCCTCCTTTGTCTCCCCTCCTCCCACCTGCTCTCTCCTCTCTCTCTCCCCTGTGTCCCCTCCTCCCCAGCTCTCCTCTCCCCTCCTCCTCTCTCTGCATCTCTCCACCTCTCTCCCTCCTCACCTGGCCTCTCTCTCCCTCCTCCTCTCCTGTCTCTCCTCTCCCCCACCCTCTCCCTCTCTCTCCTCTCCTCTCCACCTGCTTTCTCTCCATCTGCTGTCCCTTCCTCCACCCTCTCCTCCTCCCACCTGCACTCTCCCTCCTCCACCTGGCCTCTCTCCCTCCTCCCACCTGCTTTCTCCTCCTCCCACCTGCCTCTCTCCCTCCCTCCCTGTCTCTCTCCTCCCTCCCCACCTGCCTCTCTCCCTCCTCCTGCACTCTCTCTCTTTCTCTCTCCCTGGCCTCTCTCCCTCTCCCCCTCCTCCCACCTGCTTTTCTCCCTCCTCCCACCTGCCCTCTCCCTCCTCCCCTGTGCTCTCCTCTCCCACCTGCTTTGTCTCCTCCTCCCCCTTTCTCCCTCTCCCACCTGCTTCCTCTCCCTCTCCACCTCTCCTCCCTCCTCCACCTGCACTCTCTCCCCCACCTGGCCTCTCTCCCTCCTCCCACCTGCCTCTCTCCCTCCACCTGGCACCCTCCTCACCTGCTCTCCCTCCTCCCCCCCCTGGCACTCTCTCCCTCCTCCCAGCCTTCTCCTCCCTTTGGCACTCTCCTCTCCCCTGGCACTCTCTCCTCCACCTGGCACTCTCTCCCTCCTCCCACCTGCCTCTCTCCCTCCCTCACCTCTCCCTCCTCCTGCCTTCTCTCCCTCCTCCCCCCTCTCCTCCCTCTCCACTCTGCCTCTCCCTCCTCCCACCTGGCACTCTCTCCTCCCACCTGCTCTCCCCTCCCTCCCACCTGCTTTCTCTCCCTCCTCCCACCTGGCTCTCTCCCTCCTCCCACCTGGCACTCTCTCCTCCTCCCACCTCCTTCTCTCCCTCTCCCTGGCCTCTCTCCCCTCCTCCACCTTTCTCCCTCCTCCCCGCTCTCCTCTCTCTCCTCCTTTGTCCTCCTCCTCCCTGCACTCTCTCCTCCCCTCCTCCCTCCTCCACCTGGCACTCTCCCTCCTCCCACCTGCTTCTCCTCCCACCTGGCACTCTCCTCCTCCACCCGCTCTCCCTCTCCTGGCCTCTCTCCCTCCCTCCTGGCACTCTCCCTCCTCCACCTGGCCTCTCTCCCTCCTCCCACCTGCTTTGTCTCCTCCTCCCACCTGGCACTCTCTCCCTCCCCTCCCACCTGGCACTCCTCCCCTCCCTCCCACCCCAGCCTCTCTCCCTCCCCTCCCACCCTGCCTCTCTCCCTCCTCCACCTGGCTCTCTCCCTCCTCCCCTGCTCTCTCCCTCCTCCACCTGGCACTCTCTCCTCCTCCCACCTGGCACTCTCTCCCTCCTCCCACCTGGCACCTGTCTCCCTCCTCCCACCTGCTTTGTCTCTCCTCCCTGCCTCTCTCCCTCCTCCCACCTGGCTCTCTCCCTCCTCCCACCTGGCCTCTCTCCCCTCCTCCCACCTGGCACTCTCTCCTCCTCCCACCTGCCTCTCCCCCTCCCTCCACCTGGCACTCTCCCTCCTCCCACCTGCTTTCTCTCCTCCTCCCACCTGCACTCTCTCCCTCCCCTCCCACCTGCCTCTCTCCCTCCCTCCACCTAGCACTCTCTCTCTCCTCCACCTGGCACTCTCTCCCTCCTCCACTGCCTCTCTCCCTCCTCCCCTTTGTCTCCTCCCTCCACCTGCCTCTCCCTCCTCCCCACCTGGCACTCTCTCCCTCCTCCCACCTGCCTCTCCCTCCTCCCACCTGCTCTCTCCTCCTCCCTGGCACTCTCTCCTCCTCCCACCTGGCACTCTCCCTCCTCCACTAGCCTCTCTCCTCCCCTCCCACCTGGCCTCTCCCTCCTCCCACCTGGCACTCTCCCTCCCTCCCACCTGCCTTCTCTCTCCCTCCTCCCACCTGTCTCCTCCCTCCCACCTGGCACTCTCCCCTCCCTCCCACCTTTCTCCTCCCTCCCCCCTGCCTCTCCCTCCTCCACCTGCCTCTCTCCCTCTCCCCCTGCCTCTCTCCTCCTCCTGCTCTCTCCCCTCCCCTCCCCTGCCTCTCTCCCTCCCTCCCACCTGCCTCTCCCTCCCTCCCTGCCTCTCTCCCTCCTCCCACCTGCCTCTCTCCCTCCTCCCACCCCTGCTCTCCCTCCTCCCCCTGCCTCTCCCTCCTCCCTCTCCCTCCTCCCTGCTTTCCCCTCCCCTCCCACCTGGCACTCTCTCCCTCCTCCACCTGGCACTCTCTCCCTCCTCCCTGCTAGTCTCCCTCCTCCCTGCACTCCCCTCCTCCACCTGGCCTCTCCCTCCTCCCACCGCACTCTCTCCCTCCTCCACCTGGCACTCTCTCCTTCCTCCCACCTGGCACTCTCTCCCTCCTCCCTGCTCTCTCCTCCTCCCTGGCACTCTCTCCCCTCCTCCCACCTGCCTCTCTCCCCTCCTCCCTGGCCTCTCTCCCCTCCTCCCACCTGGCACTCTCTCCCTCCTCCACCTGCCTCTCCCTCCTCCCACCTGCCTCTCCTCCCCTCCTCCACCTCCTCTCTCCCTCCTCCCACCCTGCTCTCTCCCCTCCTCCACCTGGCACTCCCTCCTCCCCACCTTGGCGTTAATCCTAGCCTTTCTTTGACCTGACCTGACCTGACCTTTCATCTGGCAGCCCCGGTATAGTGATCCACGTATGTGACGAGGCCAGAGGACTCCGCCAGGACTTCACCTGCCCAGGACCTTCTCATCCACCACATAGGATACTTCGCTGACGTCACAGCAGGTACCTTCCTCCTACCTGTCTCTCTTATGATTCTCAAATATTACTTGGCTCACCTAAAGGTCAGAACCATAATTTATATCAACTTAACGATAACCAAGCCTAACCTAACCTAACCTAACACCTACAAACCTAACATAACCTAACCAACCTAACCAAACCTAACCTTACCTAACAAAATCTAACCTAACCTACAATCTAACCTAACCTAACCAACCTAAACTAACCTAAACTAACCTAACCTAACCTAACCTACCTAACCTACCTAACCCTAACCAACCTACCTAACCTAACCTAACCTAGCCCTACTAACCTACCCCTAACCTAACCTACCTAACCTACCCTAACCTAACCTACCTAACCTAACCCAAACCTACCCTAACCTACCTAACCTAACCTGCCTAACAACCTGCCTAACCTGCCTACCTAACCCTAACCTCACACCCTAACCTAACCTGCCTAACCTAACCTACCCTAACCTAGCCTACCTAACCTACCCCTAACCTAACCCTGCCTAACCTGCCTAACCTCCCTAACTAACCTGCCCTAACCTACCTAACCCTAACCTAACCTTACCTACCTAAACCTAACCTAACCCCCAGAAAGATATCTATTATTGACGATTTTCCGCCAAATAATTGTCTCCCTGTTTACATCATGTACTGTCGTCTACTGTTCTACCTTAAGATAAGAATCACACGCACACACACACACACACACACACACACACACACACACACACACACACACACACACACACACACACACAGTAAAAACAGAATAACATTAACATTATTTTTCTTTGGACTTCTCGTGGAGGTCGGTCAGTCCCAGCCGATTAAATTGACCTTATTGTCTTATTTTCACCCACATACCGATTTAATTGACCTCATTGTTCTATTTTGACCTGCAGGCCGATTTAATTGACCTAGTTGTTTTATTTTGACCCCGCATGCTGATTTAATTGACCTTATTTTGACCCCGCAGGCCAGCGACTCGAAGACGTGGACATATCCGTTCACTGTGACGTCAGCATCTTCGAATGGCTCTTACGCTGGGTCAAGAAAGGTCAAACTGAGGACCACGTCGCCCCTGTCCTAGGTAGGTCAACAGTCATAAGATAGGTCAAGATTCACATACTGTACAAGCACACACACACACCATAACCACACACACACACACACACACACACACACACACCATATTTATTTAGTAACTAGTAGACTTTAATTGACTTTAGGGATCATATTCAGATCAACTTGACCAGACTGACTCTCCCCCCACAGTGCCTAAGACGGCTGTATCCATCCTCATCTCTGCGGACTTCCTCAAGATGGCGCCCCTGGTGGAGGAGGTCCTGCAGTACGTCCACGACAACATCAACCTCATCCTCGAGGCCCAAGTTAACCTCAACTGTCTCTCGGACGTCATACTCGCCAGGTGGGTGTTGTGGTGTGGTGTGTTGTGTTGTGTGGTATAAGTGGTGTTGTTGTGTTGTGTGGTGTAAGTGGTGTTGTTGTGCTGTGGTGTGTTGTGCTGTGCTGTGTTGTGTGGTGTTGTGGTGTAGTGTGTTGTGTGTGCTGTGCTGTGCTGTTGTGTTGTGTTGTGTTGTGCTGTGGTGTGTTGTGGTGTGTTGTGTTGTGTGGTGTAAGTGGTGTTGTTGTGTTGTGGTGTGTTGTGTTGTGTTGTGTTGTGGTGTGGTGTGTTGTGTTGTGTGGTGTAAGTGGTGTTGTTGTGTGTTGTGTGGTGTGTTGTGGTGATGGAACACCTTCTTACGTGTTGCGTGGCTGTTTTAACGTATGGTGCAGAGGTGAGGGGGGGGGGGTTGTTGTGGCGCAAGTAGTGGTGCAGTGAAGACCTAAGCAATATAATACACTACCAAGGCGCACACTCATGGAATATATTGTGGCGCTAACTTAACGATGCCTACTGATAAATTAGGCGGTGTATTGTGGTGTTTAGTGGAGCAGAGAAGAAATGTGCATCTTAGACACCCGACAGACACGGTGGGTGTTCATTGTGGCGCTAACAAAGTGGTGCAGTGAAGACAGGATGGACAATACTTTAGGAGGTAATAGTACGGTGGTAGTGACAGTACCTCGCAGTACTGTACCTTCCTCGTATCACAGGGTTGGCCACCACAGTTATAATCAATGTGTTGCTCTGATGAATTATCCCGAGATATCAAAAGTTGGACGTCATTAACCTACTGACTATATATAAGTTGTTTTTGTTGAATAATCTGGTGTTATAGCACAATATCATGTAAGGAGCAATGGGCTTATGTGTTTTATACTTCACGGCCACTTGGTGTCGCCACCGTCGCGGGAGGATAAACAAACATTGAGTGCTCCATCCTCCTCCTTTAGTCTCAGATTCCTTGATGCAACTCAACGAACGGTTCACCTCCCCTTGTAATTCTCTTCACTATTTTACAACCACTATATACCCCTCACACCCCACTACACCTTTACACCTCTTTAAAACCCCTCTACGCCTTTTAAAATCCCTCTACGCCTCTTAAAACCTCTCTACGCCTCTTTAAAACCCCTCTACCCCCAAAACCCCGTCTTTAATACCCCTCTGTACCCGCAGGTTGGCGCGGGTGTTCACACACTGGGAGCTGGAGGGGCTCAGGGACCGCCGGGACAGGATACAAAACAAATTGTACGCTCGTTTCCTCCAAACACTCTGTGACGTCACGCCAGCCCCCTCCCGCGGGATCTTCAAGACGGCCGCGACGCTCTTCAAGTGAGAGAGAGAGAGAGAGAGAGAGAGAGAGAGAGAGCATCGAATATTATCAAATTAATCTTCAGAATATTGGTGAATTACGACCATGATTCTAACTTCTTTCTTTTCTAATCTTCCTGTCGTAGATGTAGTGAATGTGGTGAGCTGGTGAGTAAAGGTGTGGATCGTCTGGTGACTTGTGTCCCTGCCAACACCTCCGTCACCGCCTCTGGCCACGTCTACTACACCCACTCCAGGTGATGTCCTCTACCTGCCCTCCCGACCCTCTCACTACACCTCAGGTCATCTTACTCTCACTACACCTCAGGTCATCTTACTCTCACTACACCTCAGGTCATCTTACTCTCACTACACCTCAGGTCATCTTACTCTCACTACACCTCAGGTCATCTTACTCCTCACCACACCTCAGGTCATCTTACCTCACCACACCCCCAGGTCATCTTACTCCCCACCACACCCCAGGTCATCCTACCTCACTCACACCTCAGGTCATCTTACTCCTCACCACACCTCAGGTCATCTTACTCCCTCACTCACACCCTCAGGTCATCTTACCTCACCACACCTCAGGTCATCTTAATTCCTCACTACACCTCAGGTCATCTTACTTTCACCACACCTCAGGTCATCTTACTTACCACACCTCAGGTCATCTTACTTTCACTACACCCCAGGTCATCTTACTTTCACTCACACCTCAGGTCATCTTTACTCTCTACCACACCTCAGGTCATCTTACTCACTCACACCTCAGGTCATCTTTACTCACTACACCCCCAGGTCATCTTACTTTCACCACACCCCTTCTGCAGGTCATCTTTTTACTCACTTCCTCATACACCTCAGGTCATCTTTACTCTCACTACACCTCAGGGTCATCTTACTTCACTACACCTCAGGTCATCTTACTCTCACTACACCTCAGGTCATCTTACTCTCACTACACCTCAGGTCATCTTACTTTCACTACACCTCAGGTCATCTTACTCTCACTACACCTCAGGTCATCTTACTCTCACTACACCTCAGGTTAGGTTTGGTTAGGTTAAGTTTGATCAGTGCCGCAAACAAACGCCATGAAATGTTAAATATTTATTTCCGCAAAAAAATTAGTTGCTTACTTAGAATCAGCATAAAAAAATGTACTAGTAACAAATTTAAAAACAAAATATAACACTCTAAATTTTTAATAAGATGCAGTAAGATGAAGTAAGAAACCTGCTGCACTTATTTTTAATCGGTTTACAATAAGCTAAACAGTTGTTGATGGTCTAGAACACTAGTCAGGAAGTGGCAAAAACTTTCCTCCGTGATGTAAACTACCACAGTTCTTGCACATGGCTTTATCGCACTTTGTGTCATAATAAAGAGCTTTAGAGGCAATTAGAGAGACCAGCAGTAGGTTACCATACTGTATGAACTACTGACGGGAAACAGACCCTCCCCTCGTAGCCTGTACTTAACCCTCCCTTAGCATCACCTTTAAAGAGCTTTACAAAATATTGCTATAGTTTATTCTATTAAGCAATATGAAAACCATTACACATTTGCACTGTATATGAAGGTGCTTCTGAGTCGATAACTTATTTAAATTATCATAAATTGTTACGATAAACCAAGAACAATGGACATTTCCTTCGCTTCTGTGGCATAAACAAATATCTTTAAGAAACGCCACAATTATTTCATCGTTCTTTCTTTTATGTCGTGCGAAAGTTAACACACATTCACACGGCAAATAAAAGTATTGCTATACTAATACGTTTCGTGAATTGCAAAATTAAGCCTAAAAACATTGATAAACTCACTAAGTTTGTTGGGTGTCATCTGCAGTGCTGTGTCTACAAATTTGTTTCCTGCTGAATCTGACAGTTCAGCCTTGGGTGGCGTCACACTGGTATACTTTCGTTTTCTTCTTTTTTTTGTAAACTTTCAGAAAATCATCAAACTTTTTTGTTGTGCACCGTTTAAAACCAACTCGCCAGCTTCCCTCGTTCAACAACTGTCAACAAACAGATGGATCCAACTGACGATGAAAGCGCAGCAATTTTTTATAACTATTTGTAGTATCAATTATAGATCTTGTGTTAACTCCGGTAAATTGTTTAACGAGCGGTCGGTGCAGGTGTGTATAGTTTGACAAACACCCAATGACAACGCCGACGATTAGTGAAAAAAGTCGATAGTAATGAAAAAGTTGACAAAAGAAATGCTAGTGTGACGCCGCCTTTATAGACTCAAGACGAATTTTCCTGTTTGTAAAATTATCAGAGTAGGAGTCGTAAATTATCCTGAAAAATCTCAAGGAACCCTGTCAAGCTATCACGGGCTCCACAGAATATACTCACTACTCCTCAGCTCATCTACTCTAATCCCTTGTGAATTCAATCTCTCTGACTACATAGGACTTCGATTACAGTGAAAACTTATCCATTTTTTTTAATAGGTAGAAGATTAGTTATTTTGACCATCGATGAATACAGTATATGTAACCCAATTTTCTTGTTCCTGGGGTTATAGATTTATTCTAGACGGTGACGAGAGGTCGGCAATTGAATAAATTGTTAAATATGAAGAAATAGTATCGAGATTAAACTTTGAATAGATTATAGTGTGAATTCTAAGGTTACTAACCCCTGTGAATTTTGTAGATCCTAATCCATGTGAATACGAAGGCTCACAACCCATGTAAATGTTGAAGGATGATTCCTGTTGAAACCCAAGGCTTCATAGAAATGTGAAGCCAAGGGATCCGTGCTCATGCAAAAGCCAAGGGCCTGTATTCATTTGAAACCTAAGAATCCATAACCACGACACAGATACTTACATGTTACCTAAGGATCCGTACCCATGTTATGTTATTACTGCGCTCCAACAACGGAGGTCTTTAAGGGCGTAACAAGGTTGGTGATACACTAGTCCTTGTGAAGGCTACCAAAGCATCTAAATATTAACTTTACTTTATGTATCTTATTGCCTCTGACTTTATAGGGTCCATACTCATTTGGAATCCCTTTAAGACCCGAACCCTTACGACACCTAAGGATGGTGGTGACAGTTGTGTTTGTTCACAGAGACGCCAGTTGGAGCCTGACGGAACATGTGCGACAGTTGAAAACAGACCTCAAGACATGGAGGCTCGTATACTGGAGACTCTGGGGACAGGTGTGTAAGAGAGCAGGTGTAATGGTGATCAATTAACAGAAGAGAAAATGTGTAGGTGCACCTGTCTCACTTCACCCTTCTTCATTCCCCTCTCCCTATTTTGTTTTCCTTTTCCTCTGTTCATTCCTTACCGCCTTCTACATGTGGCGAGGTATTCCCTCTCTTGATCACTCCCTCCCTCTGACCCCCTCCTTTGCGTTCCCCCTGATTCTCCCTCACTCTCTCCGTGACCCGCTCTCTCACTCTCCCGACCTCTCCTTCACTCTCCCGACCTCTCCTTCATTCTACCGACCCTCTCCTTCACTCACCCGACCTCTCCTTCACTCTCCCCCTCCGCAGGTCCACTTCTTGCCATGTTCGACGTGTGGTGCAGTCTTCCCAGGATATGAGATGCGACTTTGTAGGACCCATCGCCTGGACGCGTCATCTTGCGACCTGGAAGTCCTCCTCTCAAGCGATGTGTACCCGTGTTGCGGCGCCCGAGCCCTTAGGTTCTCCCCGCTCCCCGTCAGAAATGTATGTGAACTAATTTCTCTTGTGTGTTGACCAAAGTGTACATAATATCAATGAATTTATCCACTCTAAGACAAAGGAAGGAATTACTTTTATATCGGTTAATTCCTTCTTTCTCTTGCACTGTCTCGGTACGTTGTTTATACACCTGCACGGTCTGTTTACATTGTTTACCCATACTCATTGTGTGCCTCTACCGTACATGCTGAATCAAAATGATCTTGTATAACGATTTTACGGAATGTATTATCGCTTATCTCCTCTTATGCCCACTAGACTCCTTCGTGTTTCCTTCGGTGTCCTCTCCTTCGTGGCAGTTAATGTATTCAACCATATCCTTTTATCTACAGCAATATATGTCATTTTCTATTTTTCTCATGGCAAAAATATATTTGATATTATATCGTTTAGTTTCTCACTAATATGGCCAAAAGACTTTCGTATAACCTTCACTATGTTTAACATCTTATGTGTTCCTTACCTGCACCGTACAGGGAGGTCTACATCTGATGTGTACCGTCTAAAGAAACTCTCCATCTGATGTGTACCTTGTGTGTACCGTACAGGGGTGCCAGGTGACGGATCACACGGTACAGCTGAGCCAGGGCGGGGACGAGGAGACGTGGGGCCCCATCCCTCTTATCTACGATGATCTCCTCACCTTCCAGCTCCTTGTATGTCTTGATCCCCCACAACACCTCAGTCCCTCCCACAAGGTACCTGGAGGAGAGAGAGTAAAGCACCTCATTTTCCTCCAAAAGATGCCTGAGAGAGAGAGAGAGAGACAGAGAGAGAGAGAGAGAGAGAGAGAGAGAGGTCTTAACAATTATCAATATTTGAATGTTGTATGTAGACAAATATGAACCTTTTTAGATAATGTGGATGTCTTTCAATACATTCACTTACATTCAACATTAGCCAACAGAGATAAGGAATCCATTGTGTCCGCCTCTTGATTTCGGTCTTCTGTGATGGAGTTCAGAATTTACAGGAACAATACAGGCCAATGAGAACACCTGATGACTTGCCCAGCCAGCTTAGTTCACCTGAGGATTAAACACACTAACTACCTACAGTAAATTAAATTAAGTTAGGTAAGATTATGTTTGGTTAGGTTAGGTTAGTTTGGTTAGGTTAGGTTAGTTTATGTTTGGTTAGGTTGTAGTAAGTTAGATTAGCATATGTTACAATAGGGTAGCTAATCTTCAGGTGAAATAAGCTGCGGGGGGCTAAGCTTCAGGTGAAATAAGCTCAGGGGGCTAAGCTTCAGGTGAAATAAGCTGCGAGGGGCTAAGCTTCAGGTGAAATAAGCTGCGGGGGGGCTAAGCTTCAGGTGATCCGGCCGATATGTTGAGAATAGATTGATAGTCTGGGAGGTGTGAACAGGTATATGATTACTTTAATTATTTATCTCATGGTCAACATTCTTACCAGTGATGCTGTATAGATGAGACGACTAACATAGACCTATATTATGTTCTCACCTGTAGAGTTTGTGTCGTCTTGACTGAGAAGTTCACATGGTGTGGTTTAGGTACTAGACAAGAGATGACAGTTTAGAGAGTTTCCCCAGATCTCCAGGCAGGTGACGCTCGAGAAACGACTGGATAGACAATAGGAAGGTCAAGATGTTACGTATCAACACAGAGAACAAGTTGTTGATGTAGAGTACAGGATGGAAAGCTGACTAAGTGTTGCGTGTGTGTGTGTTTCAGTGTGTGTTGTGGGCGGGGGTTCCCCTCGTGCCTGCCATCAAGGGGGAAAAAAGCTTCCTAGACCGTTCCTGGCTTGCCCACTACTTACACGGTAAGCCACTCTATTTGTACATGGTAAGCCAGGCTACCTTCTGTATATGGTAAGCCAGGCTACCTACTGTATATGGTAAGCCAGGCTACCTTCTGTATATGGTAAGCCAGGCTACCTACTGTATATGGTAAGCCAGGCTACCTACTGTATATGGTAAGCCAGGCTACCTTCTGTATATGGTAAGCCAGTCTACCTACTGTGCATGGTAAGCCAGGCTACCTACTGTATATGGTAAGCCAGGCTACCTTCTGTATATGGTAAGCCAGTCTACCTACTGTGCATGGTAAGCCAGGCTACCTACTGTATATGGTAAGCCAGTCTACCTACTGTATATGGTAAGCCAGGCTGCACACTGCATGGTAGCTGGGCTACCTACTGTACATAGAGGAAATGGTCACCTGCACATGGTAAAAAGCCCATTTCACCCCAATACATAGTAAAGCCAGAGCTACCTACTGTATGGCAACCCAGGCTACCTACTGTGCAGAATCTACTTACCTGTACATGGTAAGCCAGTCTACCTACTGTGTAATAGTAAGCCAGTCATATACTGTATGTAAGTAGCCTTGCTACCTATACTGTGCAGTAACCAGGCTACCTACTGTATATGTAAGCCAGGCTGCACCACTGTACATGGTCACCACCTGCTGTACATGGTAAGCCAGTCTACCTGCTGTGTGGTGGCCAGTCTATATACTGTACATGGTAAGCCAGACTGCCTACTGTACATATTAAGCCAGGCTACCTTCTGTATGTGAAAGCCAGTCTACCTACTATGCATGGTAAGCCAGTCTACCTTCTGTATATAGTAAGCCAGGCTACCGACGCTGTACATGGTAAGCCAGGCTACCTACTGTGGCATATGGTAAGCCAGGCTACCGACTGTATATAGTAAGCCAGGCTACCTATATATGTTAAGCCAGGCTACCTACTGTACATGGTAAGCCAGTCTACCTGCAATATATGTTAAGCCAGTCTACCTACTGTATATGGTAAGCCAGTCTACCTACTGTATGTAGTAGCCAGTCTACCCCTTCTGTATATGGTAAGCCAGTCTATATACTGTATATGGTAAGCAGTCTACCTACTGGCCATAGTAAGCCAGTCTACCTACTGTATAGTAGCAGTCTATATACTGTATATAGTAACCAGTCTACCTACTGTACATGGTAGCCAAGAGCTACCTGTACATAGTAGCCAGTCTACCTACTGTACATGGTAAGCCAGGCTACCTACTGTATATGGTAAGCCAGGCTACCTACTGTATATGGTAAGCCAGGCTACCTTCTGTATATGGTAAGCCAGTCTACCTACTGTGCATGGTAAGCCAGGCTACCTACTGTATATGGTAAGCCAGGCTACCTTCTGTATATGGTAAGCCAGTCTACCTACTGTGCATGGTAAGCCAGGCTACCTACTGTATATGGTAAGCCAGTCTACCTGCCTGGTAAGCCACTCACATGGTTATCCATGTTTCGTTGCCTTGTTGGGATTGTTAACCAGAAGTCTTGGAGTGTTCCCTCTTGCTTCCCGCCAATATTAATGGGCCCGGACAGTTATCACTTTCATGATACAAATCTCCTTTACCAATACTGTATTTTTGTTTATCCTCAAAGTATAAATCTTAAGTTGACATCCTAGAATGAGTTAAGCTGCAAAAAATATTTAACAAATATCCAATCGCGACATACAGCACTGTAGTTATAATCTCAATATATTTCAGATTTGTCTTCGAAATTTTGAGCTGATGTGTACAGTACATCGGAACAATCGTGTAAACCTCGACAAATACTTGTTTATTATCAGTAATAACATTATTTCCAGGTTATTCTAACAATGATACAGGATGATGCGGCCGAGTGGATATAATGTTCGCCTTCCGTTGTAAGGTCGCTGGTTCAATACTAGGTCCTCCCCAGCCCACCCAGCTAAAAATGGGAACAGAATTTCACAATTGGGGAAGTTAAGGTGGTCGAGTGCAGTGCCCGCCTTGTGTACCGAGGGCTTAGTGTGCTGTATACATAACTATCTTATTGCTACTATTACTATCACCACTACTACTACGTCTGGCATGTCACTATCACCATTTCCTTCGTATACTACCGCCACCACCACCCTCCCTTCACTACAACCTCTACCCTCCTCCCGCAGGTGAACGTGACACACACCCGAGCATCCGCGTGGGGGTGAGCGAGGGTGGGACTCCTGCCACTAATATGGGGGCGCCCTCCGTCAGTGTCGGCGCCAGCAGCGAGAGTTCGTCGGACGAGGAGGAGGGAGGAGGAGGCCGCTCTACCCTCACTTCGCGTTTTAAAGCCAACCTCGTGCGACGGGCTGCCCGCGCCAGACGCACCATCGCCTGCGAGTAAGATGATGATATTGGAGTTTGAGAGTCTGTGTCTGTGTCCCTAACTGTCTCCAGTTATCTTTAAGTCGTCTCTCAATATTGTATCCTAGAAACTGGTTCCCATATTCACTGAAACATCTTACATCGCCCACCAGGGTGACACATTGGCTTTTCATCCCCGTCTTTACATATATAGCAATAGCATAGCATCAATTCATATCATTCACTCAGACAGCAATACTGTACAGGAACAAAGTGGGGTGTAGCGGCCCAGTGGATACAGTGTTTGTCTCCCGGTCTAAGGGTCTACCACCGGGGCATCCCCACCTCCACCAGCTGTGAATGATTACCCAAGTTTTCTGGTGGGGAGTAAAGGTGGTGGAGTGTAGTGATGGTCTCACTGCCTCCCTGTGTGCCAAAAACGACTAAGTATTCAGAATGTTGTATCCTCGTTAGCCCTAACAGGCCGTCAAGTCTTAGTGTCCACTTGTGCTAATGTACAGTACAAAGACAAGTGTAAGTAAAGTTAGATGGTAACTCCACATAGTATGCATCATCTAACAAAGCCTAAACCTTGACACAACAGAGTACACATTTGCAAAATGAGACTTAGTCACACACACACACAGACACACACACACACACACACACACACACACACACACACACACACACACACACACACACACACACACACACACACACACACACACACACACACACACACACACACACACACACACCATGCTATGGCCAAGTCTATTTGTATATTTTGTAATAGCAGCAGTTAAAGAAAGTAATTACAACTGCTGTCACTCACCCAGGGACTACCTGCTTGTGTTGCAGGGTGATGGCGGAGCCCAGCCTACGGTGGGACGCTGGTCGGTCTACCCGCCACAACCAGGATGCCCAGCGGGAACGAGAAACTCGTGCCCTGCGAGATCTCACCTCCTGGCTCACACTTGCCGCCCCCAACACCCACGACACCGCCCATGGCTCTCACAAGAGCCACCGCGGGCGTCCCGACCGACGGAGGGAGTGTGCAAATGGCCCCGACCCAGGGTGCTACTACAGGCTGGAGGCCGAGTTTAGAGAACGTTACGGAGGACACTCACACGGCAACGGCACAGGAGGAGGCGGTACTTTCCGGGCCAAGGTGCAGGCCATCTCCAGGATCAAGATGAGGCTTAGACATCGTGCAGCTTTCTCAGCATCTCGCTAATTATGGAGCCCGTAGAGGCGATCGTCTTTACTCAGGTCTCGTCTACACATATTAGGATTACTCGTCCTAGGATATGGAAGAGGAGAGAGTATTGTTGTCATGTTCTGTGTTTGTGCATGTACTGTATGTATGTGTGTGAGAGATACTTCAGAAGGTACAAGTACTTAATCACTGTATATCAATATTGTAGCCGCCCGTCGGGCGATTGTAGGATAATGAGACCCATCACGTTGAACGCAATTGTTCTTTATTCAGTCAAAACCTGCAGAGTACAAAATTACATATGAGATAATTAAATCACTCGTAAGTTTCCTGCATTATTAACAACTACATATGATATCCATTAGTGTAGTGTTAAACCATATAACACTTACTGTACGTGTTATTGGTCTAGGGCAGGACTTGTTAGCCCCCTGGACGGCTAGAGACCGTCTTCTGAACCACACTTTTTCTTTTTTCGTTTATCCTCTTCAACAAAAGATCGGCTCGTTAGCCGCTTGAGCGATCGGTCACGTCTCTGGTACGCACTGTTGGCAAGTACTGGGCATGCACCGGCTCCTGAATGTACCTGAACCCGCTCCAGTGTTGGTCAATCCTTGTCTTGAAAGAGCTCACACTCGGTGCCGTCACAACACTCTCTGGTAGATGGTTCCAAGAGATCATAACCCCACTCCGAAAAAGTTTGCCCTCACAGTTTTGTGGACTTGCGGCTTCTTCAATTTTTTTTTTTTTAGTTTATTGGGCACCCGCCTACATCCTGTGCAAGGTGAAGCGCAGAAGCGCCCATCTGGGAAGCATGCTAAGTTTATGCTTGCCTTTAGTTCGAGATCAAGTGAGATGTACTGTGTATGACGGCGAGTTGACTTTAAGACACGGGGTGGCCTCTTATAGGTGGGGGTGGCCTCTCAGGTGGCCCTTATAGGTAGGTGGCCTCTGTTGTGGGTGTTAAGGTGGGGGCCTCTTGTAGGTAGGAGATGGGATGGCCCTTGTAGGTTGGGGTGGCTTCATAGGCCTCTTGTAGGTTGGGGATGGCCTCTTGTAGTGGCCTTATAGGGGTGGCCTCTGTAGGTGGCCCTTATGGTCAGGGTGGCCTCTTGTAGGTTGGGGTGGCCCTTGGCCTCAGGGTGGCTTCTTATAGGTTGGGGGTGGCCTCTTGTAGGTTGGGGGTGGCCTCTTGTAGGTTGGTGGCCTCTTGTAGGTTGGGGGTGGCCCTTATAGGTGGGGTGGCCTCTTGTAGGTGGGGTGGCCCATGTAGGTTGGGGTGGCTTACAGGGGGTGGCCTCTGTGGTTGGGCTGTGGCCTGTAGGTTGGGGGCTCTTGGGGTTGGGGTGGCCCTCTTGTAGGCTGGGGTGGCCTCTTATAGGTTGGGGTGGCTGGGGGATGGCCTCATGTGGTTGTGGGGTTGAGGTGGCCTCTTGTAGGCTGGGGGTGGCCCCTTGCAGTGGTTGGGGGTGGCCTCTCAGGTTGGGGTGGCCTCTTGTAGGTTGGGGTGGCCTCTTGCAGGGTTGAGGTGGCCTTTGCAGGTTGGGGGTGGCCTTTGTGGGTTGGGGTGGCCTTTGTTGGGGGCTGTAGGTTGGGGTGGCCTTTGTAGGTTGGGGTGGCCCTCAGGTTGGGGGTGGCCTTGCTTGTAGGCTGGGTGGCCTTTGTGGGTTGGGTGGAGGTTGGGGGGTGGCCTCTTGTAGGTTGGGGGTGGGGGTTGGGGTGGGGCCTCTTGTAGGGGTGGCCTCTGTAGGTTGGGAGTGGCCTCTTGTAGGTTGGGGTGGCCTCTTGTAGGTTGGGGGTGGCCTCTTGTAGGTTGGGGTGGTGTTTGAGGGTTGAGGCGGCTTCTTGAGGGTTGGGACCGGGCAATATTACAATGAACAACAAAACCAAACTTTTTGTCTGTTACCGCCATAAATATAGTTGTTCTCTATTAATTCAAACATGTTGATTTTAAATCTGAAATAAGAATTTTTAGTATCGGCTAAATTAACATTTAAGTCATATTTATTAAAAATGTGGTTGTATGATACAATATAAAGATGTATATTGTATATGAGGCTGGAAATACAATATAAATCATCGTCATTGTCAGCGAAGAAACCACAGCTGTGTAAAACAAATAGCTCAGACAGTAAGAGCAATACAATTAACACTCATGACTCACGGTCCAAAATATTTAGGACACTTGTTCTACGTTTGTGATCATCTCAATTTGTCCCTGTAGACACCAGTGACGTAATAAAACAGCCGAAATGGGGACGCACACACCCCCTTTAAGAAGAAAACTCTATCGAACTGTTGTTTTCAGGTAAGCGTGAATATGAAAATATATGTGAGGTAATATTTGACAGACTGAAAATAAAACAGGTTACAAATAGTTGGCTTTCAACTATTATGAAACAATAAGGTGGTGACGACATTTGGGGAAAATACTGTTTCTGACAAATTTTGTGAAGAATATGAAGGCAAAACTAAAAGAATTCCTAACAGTTATGAGACTGTTAAAGTGATGAATTTTAGTAAAACTTTAACTTATGTATCAGTTAAAGATGCTCCCTTTGAAATGAGAAATAAAATTATAATGAACATCATAAGTAAATATGGAAAAGTGGAAGGAATGAGGCTGAACAGGTATATAAAAGGACCAGCGGCCGGACTGTTGAATGGTACAAGAACCTTCAAGGCAAATTTAAAGAACAACATTCCATCATCAGTAACAGTAGGTGGCCATAGTTTAACTTTCCTTTATGCTGGACAGAGGAAAACTTGTTATAAATGTGGACATGAAGGTCATTTGGCAATTGATTGTCACACCGAGGAAGTAAATAAGGTGAACATTTTTGATGAGGAAGACTTCCCTGCGATACAACTTTCTGGTGAGATCCACAGCTCAAGGGCAGGTGTTAAAGAAGGAGTAGAAAGTGTCACAGTAAGTCAGGTTCCAGCAACAACTCGGTATGGGGTAGAAAAGGAAGAATTGCCTGCTCAGACTATATCCCAGGATGCTGTAGACCCAGATGGTACCACACTCCCAGATGGTACCACACTCCCAGATGGTTCAGAACATGCAGTACAGGAAAGGCCGACATACATACAGAGAGGAATAATGTGGATCAAACTGAAGGCAAAATATCTTATGAAAATATGGAATATGATAAAGCAGATGACATGGAAGCAACAAATATGACAGGGACAGAGTGTGAAGTGGCAAGAGGTGAAAACATGGATAGAATGGAGGAAATTGTAGAGGTTACCTGTAATATGTCACCAAGCAGAAACAAGAATGATGCAAACAAGGAAGATCAGAACAAACCGGGGAAAATGAATTAGAAATTAACGGCAGTGATGATGAAAATCAGGTAAAAGTGAAAACAGATGGAGGAACGAATGGTGATATTTCACAAATTTCTGGAGAAAAGGACCGTACGAGGCAAAATAAAAACATAGAAAACCAAAGTGATTTGAGTGGTCAAGTGAATAGCCAGACAGAAAGTGGATTAGAATACGGTAAAGGAGCAGTTAGTGGTAGGAAGGTGATGTTGAGTAAGAGGGATGGAAAAGAAACAGCCAAAAAGAGGTGAATAAAGGGAATAATAGTACAGATGAAGAAGGGAAGAGAGACGTCAAGAGGAAAAAGTAAATAATTTATTTTATTTTTTTACATATTATAACAATAATTATTATGTATATAATGTTTGCAACAATAAATGTGAATGGTCTCAATAGTTTAGGTAAGCAAATGCAACTATTATCTCTTGTTAAGTATTATAATATTGACATCCTTATGATACAGGAACATAATTTTAAGATCCAGGGAAATTATATTACCTAAATGATTATTTCGAAATTATTATAAACTGTACACATTTGTTAAAAGGAGGAAGGCATCAGGGCTGTGTATTCAGGTCGTAATTGTTATCTTTATATTCATGGGGTAAGTGTTAGTGCAGGAGGAGACTGGAACACCTGGAGAACACCCTATACGTACACTAGGGACAAGTTGTACAGCCACCGCTCATATCACATCAGACCCAAGCAGTCAGAGGCAGAAGGTTACCAATCATGTGGACCATTTGGTAATTACCGTCCATCTTGGAGTAGTTCCAGGACACCAGGGACTTTCTTAGTTCTTCGTTTAATAAATTGTCTTTTGTACTCATTCGTCTTGCTCAGCTTTAATTACTTCTGATGAAAGCGTCGAGGTTGTCGTGATGATGATGATAACGATGGAAGGATCTAATTAGTGATCTTTACTTCTGGAAGACGTCGCCACCAGCGTCTTGCCGTTTGTTGACATGCTGAGTCCGGAAGTGTCAATATTGCTTCGTGACGCTGTATTCCTCACCTCATTTGTCAAATAAAAGATTGCGTTATAATTTCCAGAGTCATATACATTATGGGCTGATACTTCATATTGTAGGTCATACCAATGCTAATACACAACAAATTTGTGTAAAGCTCAAGGATTTTATCGCCATTTTCGGTGTTTCAGAGACGTCCATATCTCTTGATCGTTTTGTTTGGAAACTTTTGCACAGCTTTACCGTTATAAAATACACTATTTGTTTTCATGCTATTACATGCCATAACAAACACACACACTAACTACAGTTATAGCTGAACTTAGCATAAATGTTAACACATTAGGATTTATGAACACATGTTATCTTTATATATAATAAAATAGGTGGATTATTGTCTGGTCTGTTGTTAACCTTTATAGCGATACATGACACATCCTCACAGTTAAGAATTTAATAAAAAAAATTATAAACAAACTAATTAAAAAAAGTAAATTTCTCTATCAACATGAGTCCCCTCCCTTTGAGTCGTTGGTTCGAACTTTGTGATTCGGTTGGTTCGAAAGTGGTTCAGTCTGGGAGCGCCAAGACCGGTGGTGAACCATCCGATTAGTTTGTTTCCAGCAGTGAAGTGTGCGGGTGACAGTCTTTATACCCTCCACTCTCACCTCTATCCTAGCCGTATAGACATTTTATTTGTGTAAGAAGCTGAACTACGGTGCAACACATACACCAGACGCAGGATCAGGTAAGCTATTAATTAGTGAGGGCCGGTGTCATGCGACAAATCTTCCGGTGCGATAAACTTTCCGGTTGTATGATATGCACATGACAAAAAGTTTTGCCAGGAAATTCTGTCTCACGTTACCGTGCGATATTCATTCCAGTGCGATAAACCTTCCGGGCTCATTATCGACATCTAAGATGTATGATTGATCTGTGAGTGACTTGATTCAACGTCATGTCAGCGTGGATAGTAGTGTAAAAGTAAAAAGCAAAGAATTCACAATTCTTACTCCAAAGAGTTTACCCTCACAATTTTCTGGATTTGTGGCCTCTTCAATCTTAAGCTGTGACCCCTAGTGGGGCGGGCGTCCGCCAGCTCGAAGTATGGACACTGGACTGAGTAACTTTTAACTTAAAAGGGGGGTAATTAATAGGATACATAAGTCAATATCAGATGTCCAGGTACAGTACAAAGGCCCATACATACCCACCACTGATCAACAGAGAACCGTCCAACCTCCTGGTGGGTTAATGACCTGACAATAGGTGAAAAGGACAAAAGAAAAAAAAATACAACCTGATAGAGAGTGTTGTGACGGCACCGAGTGTGAGCTTTTTTATGATCAGACTTGACTAAAACTGGCACAGGTTCAAATACATTCAGGAGACAGTTCATTCCCAGTAGGCGTACTTACCAACAGTGCGTATCCGAGACGTGACCGACCGCCCAAGTGGGTGACTAACGAGGCGACATGAGACAAGGGAGGTGAGGTTTGATAACATGCTATAGAATCTCACCTGCTTAGAATCTAACTACAGTATGAAGAAATTACTCAAATGTTTTAAGAGTAAATAATTTAACTCATTTTCTGTAATACTAATGAAACAAAGTACAGTATTTGGATGTTATGAGGTGGAATCAAATTATTTGTTACAAAGTTAATCATTATTATTAGGACAATGTAATATATTTCTATAATATCCAATTTTGTATTAATCAATACAGGCAAACGGAGAAGAAAGAATAATATATTTCATGAGCAGATTGAGCCCGACTGTACTGTACAAATCAATACAGAACCGTAAAGTAGTCAATATACGATAAATGGGACCACGAGATAGCGTACGGACATAAAACGTACATTAAATAATATTAATCACATTTATAATTATATAAATATCATATTGCATGAGTAAGTCAGAGATAAGACTTTCCAGTTAAAATAAAAACACCTGTACATGTGTGAGGTAACATGATCACCCAGCCCCATGTGAAGGGACAACAGCGCCACCTGGCGGCCCCACCCACCACCAGTGTTGCCATATCTACAGTAATCGGAAATATACAGATTGTTTACCTCGTTTCAGATTTTTCCACAAAATAGGCCAAATTTACAGATTTTTAAATCTACAGATTTTTACCTGCAGGACTTATAATTTTCGAAACTATCCCCAATATTACCATTTAGTTTTCTCCACGTATCATATGTCCCAACGGGACAAAGAAACTGCTTTCAGAGTATCAAAGCAGTTTCTTTCAAATTGAGACTGAATGTGAAAAGGAACTGGGTGTGTATGTTGACAAATGAGCTGAAGTTCTTGGGCCATTATGAGAAGAGGGTGAATCAAGCAACTAAATTATTAGGCCTTATAAGAAGGTCGTTTGATATCTAAATCTTCAGAGTGAGCTGCTTCCGGCCTGGAGTACTGTCACCCCGTCTGGTCCCCGATATATGCTAGGGACTGTCAGTTTCTTTTCTTTTATCCTCTTCGCCGACTGAAAATGCCAATAGGGGGGCCACCAGACTGGTCCCTGCACCTCAGCTACCCTGAGAGATTGGAGCGCCTGAACTTGCCTAGCTTATACTACAGACGGGCAAGGGGGACCTAGTTGAGGTGTATAAGCCTCTCAGGGGGCACTACTCAGTTGAGTGTCCTTACTTGGAGCTGGCGGACGCTCGCCCCACAAGAATTCACAGGTCAAAGTTGAAGAAGCCGCAAGTCCAGAAAACTGTGAGGGCCAACTGTGAGAGTTGTCTGGCAACACTGGCAACAGCTGAGGACTGTCAACAAGGCCTCTTACACCACCTGGGCTTAACTACTTGCTAGGAGTGATTAAGGACTTCTTCCAAAATGGGTGTCATCAGGAAACTCACCAGCAGGGCTCCCGTCATTAGTTTCAGCGATGAATCTATAAACTCGTAAGCTTGAACAATTTGTTGGTATTTAAACTTAGATCAGCTTTTGGTTCAATGAGTGACCTTTGAAGGAAGCCAGTAGAGGGTAGATCTCTGCTAACCATAATGTTCCTTTGTTGTTTCTAACTTATTTGACTTATAATTAACGTGTTTAATAAGACATTGAGCAGTAGAATACATTAATAACAGTATGCTACTAGTGCTTAATCATTACTATTTTGGTGGTGATACCTTGCCTCGGGCGTTGACAGTCTAATAGGAACTAACAGGTTGACTACATTCATTTGAGCAGGTACAGTAGTTTGGGAAATAATATGACATGAGAAAGTTTATACTGTATGTACCTTTACTGTATTGTTTGGACAGTTGTAAAGAGCTGTCGGTGCCCCACTCAGATAATATTTTTCACAACTAAATCTGGTAATATTGCTTTTAATTGCCCCACAACTTTTAGATATTTTTAATAAGGGGTGTGCCCATTTTGTCACCACCTTTTTTTACCCGTTTCGTCACCGCGTTCATTCCCATCGCCATTTTAAGGGCTTTGGGCCTTCATTATGTATTCACTGAAGCAGTAAAGACGTAATGGCTGGTTCACTATCTTTGTGTTTTGATCCTCCTTTTTTCAGAAGCAGTAGATATCTCGCACGTGTCGTCGAATTACCGCTGGCTGTCCCGCCAGTCTCCGGTAATTTCCCAACAATCGGGTATCTCTCACTTTCACTGATTTAAATTTGTCTTTTTGTGCAATAGTTGTAGACACAGTTGATGACGACATGCCATAACTTTTACAGAGTGCATTGGTTCTTCGTATTTCTTAATAATCTCTTGTCTCACTTGAATTGAAATTGCCTTCCGAGATTTCTTTTACCCATGCTTGATAATTTCACCAATAAAATTTTAAGTTCACTTCCTGTAATTACAGATTATATTATTTAAACCAACACTGCACTGTATATTATCAATATGTTAACTAAATTTAAGAATGAACAATAGGTAATTTTAATGTACAAATGCAAAAATATTCAATAGCACAACTTTCTCGATGTTTACTCCACTGGAAACAAAGGTAAACAAAGAACCGACTACTGTATTGGCAGACTAGTTGATCAGCTGATGCGCTCACCAAAATGTATTTCTCGTAAGGCTGTCGTTAAAAGAACTGAAAGTCCTTAAGGGAGCTAACTCGTGAACTGAAATCTCATAAATTGAACCGCTCGTCAATGGAGGGCCCGCTGTATATCCCTTCATTTAGCATTATGTATAAAATTGTTTCTCCTTTCTTTCTCTATTGGTCTTGAGTGGCTCTTTTGTTAACTGTACTTCTTGGGTAATTCTGTCTTCTGAAACCGACATCCTTATTTTGTTTGTTTTTTTATTATTTTTGTATGTATATTTTTTGCCTGATTTTATATTAAAGATTATATTAATATATGTGCACTCCAGATATTGTTTACCAAAGACAGTTTTACACACACACATGAAGTAGCTATGTGTGGTGTAATAAGAGTTTTAATATATTTTTAATAGATTGGGAATCAGTCAGCCAGCCACTCCCCCGTCAGAGCCAGAGACTGTAGAAGCTGAGCCATCTGTCTTTGCACCTCGTCGCCGTGACCCAGGACAACTTTTTCAGCGTTTAGAGAACCACCATCAGAATCAACGTGCTGGAGTACGCAAGACTAGAAGGGCTAATAACAGTAAGTTTCTCAGTAATTTGTTTGCTTTTATAAATATATTTGAGCTACTACTGTGGTACCTTCTTATATATTCTTTGAAATTCTGCTACAAATTGAAATTGACTGAAAAGATCGTAAAAAGTTCTTGTTTTATGTGTGTGTAACTGTTTGACCAGATGTGTTCTGATGTGTTATTACCTTTCCATAACACCCCCAAAATATCCACTTGGTCTACCTTCCACATTACACAACATCATCACACATCACTACAGTACCTTAAAAGCCACTTAGCAGTTTAGTGATAACTTAACTCACTGAGAAGGGGAAAAAACTGAGGGTGAGGTGGCCTGTTTAATGGCATGTTGCCATTATGTAATGAAGCTATAAAAGTTGTGGAATAATCATTACAATACTCTAATGTGGCTTAGAAATAAAGAAAATATAATATAAAACTATAAAATAAGAAAAAGGAAGAGCGTGGGTGTGTATGTGTGGACTTGTGGAGGCAGTGAGCTGTAATAACTGCGTCGGTGACTCGACACCCACACGGCCTGTGCTCCCTCCCCCAATGTGACATCACGGCACGCACACACACACGTTTTGGAGTCAGCTGGGAGACTGCCCAGCTGAACTGTGTCTCATCACCACAGAGGATGGTTTGATTGTGGAAGGAGCAATTTTTTGTTGCATAAAATGTGTGCTCTTGTATTTTATGATATGTTATGTATCAATCTTATTCTTTATCATAGCAGGGAATTAGAGCCAACACCTTCCACCAACCAAAAAGCCTGGGACACTTGTAAACAAAGTGGTTACAGTGCCTTTGGTGGCAGACATGCAAAAGAATGACTTTGTACTGTATAATAATAACTTGATATGAATGCCAATGCTGTAATATGTTTTAAACGTTTTACTGCATATGTTCTTAAGCTTCCAACTCACAGTATGGGAGTACAGTCCAGTGCTGTAGTATAGTGGCCATGATATAACCTCCCACAAAAAAGTGGCCTTGTGAGAAGTAACACTTGCTGTTTTTGTCATGGGACGGGTGTTCACAATTTGTACATCAAATGATTTAATTGTGAGTGTTCCACATGTTAACTTTCCACAATCACTCCCTGGTACAGTACAGTACAAGTGGAGCTGGTCCTTGTGTTCACCACAGTTGGCAGGAAAATACATGTACTTGATATTAAGGCAAGTCAGGCAAGACTATGGAAGTGTTAACTTGTTAAACCCATTAATACCAGTACCCGGTACTGTATATTTTACATCATATTGTTAAAAAGTTACCAGGCCATAAAAATATAATGAACACAAACTGTCAGAAATACTACAGTAAATTCTTTATTTGTGTTAAATTTTTTAGTGTTTTGTCTTTATAATACAGGTATCCCCCAGGTTATGGAAGGGTGCCATTAGTGAAAATATTTCCGCAATCCGAAATTTCGTAACCGAAACCATTTTTCCCATTGACTTCCATTATAAAAGTTGAGATGCGTTTCTATGGAAATTTTTTGAGGCCCAAAAATATGACACAAGCACATATATGTATGAAATTAGATGGTTTTAACCACATACAATGAGTTATTCACGATGTAACATGATAATAAATGAACTAAACACTTGATTATTACTTACCAGAAATGATGTTGAGTGGTGCAGGAGGTTGTGGGATCAGAGTTACTCCTTAGAGCATCATACAGTATACACTATTGTTCATTGCCATTACTGTATGGACTCTTTTATCACCATTGCTTTCACTTGAACTTGATGGTGTTTTTCCACTCATCTTGTATAAAGGTACACAGTAACACAGACACAACTAAACAAACTGGGGAAAGAATTCAAACTGAGCAGCTCCATTGTTGTGGTGAATGCTGGCAACTGGGAAGGTGAGTGGCCTTCTGACCGTGTGCTCACCACAGAGAATCCACAAGAAATAATTTTTAAAATTTGAGTAAAAATTTGGGTTAAAATTGCAATTGCAATTTTTTTTCCAAAAATTCTATAAAGCCGAGTTTTTTTTCCTGTACTCCGAAATTTTGGTCATAATTTCAAAATTCCGTAAGGGCAAAATTCTGTAACAAGGGATTCTGCAAGCGGGAGCTACTTGTACTTTACATAAATTTAGGCCAGAAATTTGAAATATTTAAACTCATTCCTTTAGTGATATCTCCTTTAAGCTGGACAGTTTGTGCAGAGCACTTCCGGGAATGAGAGATTTCCGGGTAACGAGACGACTCTCAAAGCCAGAAAAAATCCCTCATTCCCGAAATTTTATGGAATTTACCGGGTAACGGAAAAATATTCTCGGAAGTTACGGAAATTGCACATTACATCATCTCTCAAACCCAGAAAAACTCCCCAACCCCAGAATTTTCTGGAATTTTCCAGGTACTGGGAAATTTTTCTTGGAATTTTCCAGAAAATGTGCTGCTCTGAAAATCATTCCTAAAGCTGGAAAATTACAGCTTTAGGAATGATTTTCAGAGAAAATTTCAATTCCGGCTATCGGAGAGTTCCGCTTAAAAGGGATTCCGGCTAATGGAGATATTACTGGCACCAGCAATTATAGAAAAGATTGTATTATATGTATAAAAACAAAGGTACTGTATAAATAAATGAAAGGATAAAATTTAATTAAATTTTTCATATTTTTGTCTTACAGAACATTTCCAGGTGGGGCTCTAACTGTTGATTTGGTTTATAGCTCAAGCACTGCAGACTCTTGTGGAGGACGAGTTGGAGGAAACTAGAGAACTTAGTATCTGTGATCTACAGCCCAAGACCCAGAATGCTTTTACTAAGCTGCTCAACAATCATGACAATATGAGGGTAAACTCTTAACTTTCTTCTAATTATTATTGGTACATTTTCTGGTAGTTGAATATTATTGTATAAACACTTTATCTGACTTTAGTAATTTTTATCTTTGTCATACACATACACAATGCTTAGAATGCCCTTGTTGATTCTTTTTTCAGGATCCAGTAGATTATAAAATTGTTTGCTATCTCAAAAGACTACAGTACAGTATCTAAAAAAATAGGGCTTTACTGTACGTACTGTAAAATCCAGTCCACAAAAGAAAAGGGGCAGGGGGTAGCCTAGTGAATTTATAGTCAATCATGAACTACTCTTATCACGGATAGTGAAGAGGCATTACAAAAACTGATTAACAGATTGCAGTATAGGTACATGTAGTGGAAAAAAAGGTTAGGTTAGGTTAAACAAGCTGGAAAACTGATATGGGGTTGGGAAATGAGTGTGGCTTGTTGTGGCATGGTGGTAGCACGTTGAATATTGAAACGTGTGCCAGTTACAGAAAGCTCTTTATTGTAAGCCAGTATTGTTTATAATATGCCAATGTAGATGATTTTAGAGATATTTTCATAAGAATTTTTTATGGTGAAACATTATCTGTATTGAACAAGTAACATCTCAGTTCACAAAACAATAATAAAAGGTCTTCACCATTTTTTTGGTGTAAACAGCTTGTACAATCCCAGAGCCTTCTTAGTGCACCCAGATGTAAATTGGGACTTAACTTTACAAAGGCAATCAAGTCTAGTGCCAGCCACTATACCTCCTTGTGTATTGAGAGCTTAATACAGTGTGCTGTATCTCCGCTGTTCCTGTGGGCTCCACTTTAACTTTCATAACTCAAACCAGCCTAAAGACACATCGGTCTGATATGGCTAGAGTTACCACCAAAATTATACTTTCATGGTCCTGCACTCCCTGTGTCACTGATAGTTTCTCGTCTCTAGATTATCACATAACATTTTCTCATAGGAAGAACACCACTTGACAACAAAGCCATAGAGTCGCCAGGTAATTTTCTCTTCGGCCTCATGTTCACATGCCAAGTTTTGATTGGCTGAGACACAAACCTGGGAGAGGGGAGAACCATCTTCACAAGAAAACTGTTATTGAAAGGTATTTTGTAAAGAAATAATAAGATATTTAATATTATTGTTCAGTGCTGTCAGAGATGGGCAGTATGGTGATATACATACATCGGCAATACTTATCGATTGATACTTTTGTATCAGTATCGCCTTGGCTACTCAATGAAAGTATCGCTGTATCAGTATCACTCAGGTCCTTTTCTCAAAATGTATAAAAACAGCAATACATTGTTACATTAATGAAAATTAATGGAAAGTAGAATTAATACATATATAAACTGTATTGCAAAAAGTTGGACGGTCCATCATTATTTTTAATTTGTATACGTATTTTCATAAATATGTTTATACTGTATTTAATATAATATTTGAAAGATCTAATACTGTATTGACCTTTATATCATATTGTAAAAATGCATAAGCATATTATTCATTATTACTGTTTGTATGTCACATACTCAAACTATAAACACCATCAATATGTTACATCCTCTAACTATAAACACCATCAATATGTTACATCCTCAAACTATAAACTACAGCTGGAGGCTATGATATGCTAATGAGGGCGATGGGCAAGTTGAACACGTATTAAACAGCTGTCTCCTGTCAGTACCCAGAAAAGACTTGATTTTATTCCGATTTACTCATTACTGAGTCCTCCATCATGACACAAGTTGACTTGTGTCTCATGAACTATACACGTATACTGTATGTAGTGATCCCTCGGTGAAGACTCGTCTGAGATGGAGGTGTTAAAATACCCGGGCGACCCAAGCAATGTGTTGTCCTCACTACACCAGTATCCAGGAATTGTGAAGGATTTATGAAATACAACACCTCTCTTCCATCCTCTGCTGTGACTTTTTAGTATGGTGGGCCACATTCACTCTCCTAAGAGAAGTAGACTATCAGATAAGATGTTTGGTGAATTGGTGTTTCTGAAAGGCAATAATAATTAATTTACCAGGTCCACTGATATTATGATATCACAATAATGATGTCTTGGAAGGTAAGTCACATCACCAACAATTTTATTTAATTTTTTTCACAAAAAGTTCTTTATGTATTTAAATTTTGATTTTGGAGGTCATCAAATACATTTTTCTTTTGCATTCATTGTTTGTATTACATCCAATACCAAAATTACAAATTTACATATTAGTGGGATTTCTTTATTCTTATAGTAAAGTATCGGTGATACATGTATCGGTATCGCTTTAACCATCTACAAAGTATTGATGTATCGGTATCGCTTTAACCATCTACAAAGTATCGATGTATCGGTATCGCCTTAGACAATTTAGTGTATCAATGCCCATCACTGAGTGCTGTTCAGTATTTTAAAGAGATAGAGAGTTTTGATTATTGATCCTGAGTTCTTGTTATATGTTTTTATATCTTACATGTCTGTATAGTAAAGAAACATGCTGGGTTGTTGTCATGGAATATTGTTGCAGGTGTGGCAGTACTTTATAACCCGGGATGAGGAGGAGCAGAAGGAGTACTTGGAGGCCATTCGCCCGAAGAACCCAAATAATCGTGCCAGTGCTGTGAGTGGCTTCTCCTTCACTCAAGTAGCTGTAAATACTGAGGATCCTAAAGAAGGGAACTTTACAGAAGCAGAAGGTTAGCATTAAACTTTAATGTTACATTTACAGTACGGTACCATTGTTAGCTTATTTTGGAATTCAAGATTATGTTTGCTGTTCCATATACATGGTGGTCTGAAAGTCTCTCTTTATTTTGTTAAAAAAAAAATTGTCATTCAATACCAAAATGTAATAATCATTTGTATATTTAGTATCAAACTGAGGTTTGAGATTTGACGTGAGTAACATCAATCTCTTTGCAAATCTCAAATCTGTCCGCTGAAATATGGAACATAATGCTGCCCAGGGTCTGCTCCCACCTCATCCAATCTAGTGATTTGGCAGTAGGTCATCAAGGTAAACCCAAACGATGTTTATATACTGTAGTGGCATGGAGTTCCATTTTGTTGAAACTCCACCCACACTTTGGTACTTTCTGGAAGCTTCCCTAACAAGATCATACAGTTATCTATGATGCACAAAAATTTGATGGAATTATTTTGAAAACCGTTTTGGGCGATTTTTTTTTAAATTTCATGACCCAATTTGCATCACTGATGCAATTAGTGCTACCCAATGATTTGATCCAATTTGTGTAATGATGCACAAGAGGGTTGATATTATATTTTACCACAATGCTCTTGTAACAAAGTATTGTTAGTTTGGGCTTGTAATAAGACATGCATCTTGATTAGCTGCCTGGTGAGTTATTTGCCATTGAAGGTGCTCTCATGCCAAGAGGTGGGCAGCTCATTAGTGTTCTTGGCTGCAGCATACAAAGGTAACCATTGCTATCATTGTGATGCATTACCCTTGATACAATGGAAAAAAATGGCAAAATTGAAGTTTCACTTCCAATTGGTTTTTAACCAGAAACCTAGGTTTTTCCCATGGTAGTTGGTGTAATCCATTTAAACTTCACCTTCACATCTGTTGGAAACGAGTCGTTTTTGAGTTATCACCCCCCACACCTCCATAGAACCTGACCCAACCAACCAAAGATGCCTACCTAACTGTACTGACTTCCTAGCTGGTGTAATTTTATTTTATTTATTATTTTTTTTTGGGGGGGGACATGGTCAGATCGAGCGGGTCAGTGTAAACAAACATACGACACACAGTGACTACAGATTTACAGCACGCTCTTAAAATTCATGGGGTTTGCATCTCAAAAATAGCTGTGAATTGCCAAGTCTGCAAATGCCATTTGCTGACTGGGGGGGCGGGTGTTACATATTTACTCGTGTGCAAAGAAATGTATATTCCCCTTCTGTGTTTGCCATTAGGACAATAGTGAACACTCGAAGATCCGGGCTAAGGGGGGACCACCTGCCCGAAAAAGCCGATTGTCCAAATCTTCCGGTAAATTTACTAAATGTATAAAAATGACAAATAATGATATATAAAAACACCAAAAATACAGTACATAATATCCTGACTACTGGGGTCAGCTGTACAGACTTTTCCTGTGAAAAAGCCACAATTTTGAGCAACATATTACTGTACTCACTTTGTACTTAAATGTACTACAGTTCACTAAAGGACTAAAAGTTTTATCTTTTGTGCAAACTATGTGATGTTTGTACTCAAATTAATCACTATCTTACAAGAATTCCAGCAATGCAAGTTATATTCTGCCAAGTTTAGTCTGTGACATTTTATAAGATAAAAACTTTAAGCCTAAAACTACCTTTACCCTAAAAATCCTTATCACCTTCTGGCTGGGAGGGGGGGGGGAAGGTTAACACCCAGGAGGGGAGATTACCACGTAGTAGTTGTTAGTGGAGGGGTCGGGGGTCAGGGACTCAGGATTATACAATAGAGGGAGTTTAAGTTTTTTGCTAATAAAATGTCACTGACTTGACTTAGCAGAATATAACTTGCATTGCTGGAATTCTTGTAATATAACTTGCATTGCTGGAATTTTTGTAATATAACTTGCATTGCTGGAATTCTTGTTATATAACTTGCATTGCTGGAATTCTTGTAATATAACTTGCATTGCTGGAATTCTTGTAATATAACTTGCATTGCTGGAATTCTTGTAAGATAGTGATTACTTTGAGTATAAACATCTCATAGTTTGCACAAGAAATAACGTTTTTAGTCCTTTAACTTAGTACATTTGAGTACAGGTTTGACCTTAGGACAATTATTTCTTTTACTTTTTTCACACTATGTATGTGGGATGGTGTGTGCATGTAACTGAGTAAAAATAAATGAAGAAAGTTAGGTATATTTACCCCAAAATACGAGTTGAAAACAACCATAACACCTCACAGCTCGGCCCAATAGCCTGGTGATTACAATGACGAGCTAACCTAGCTACAATGCCATAATTAATCACTATTAAACACTATTCTGTCAGTAAACATTAATAACAACAGTAAATCCAGTGAAATATGGCAGGGAGTGAGGAGAGTTACAACTGCATGTGACACGCTAACTTGCAGTCACTCACTCCCTTTACCTGCTCCTGTTGCCAGGTGCAGCCAGGCTTACGTTTGGAAGAAATCCATGACCTTTTCTCTCTTCACTTATTTAGGCACCTTCCCACAGATGGCTGAAGGTGGTTGAGAGTGTTTGGGAGCCATCACAAGCACGAGGAGCACAGTTGTTAAGAGAGCAGAGTAGTACACGCGCGAGACGAATAAGTGTTTAACCCATAATGAGGCAGAGTGAGAGCACATGGCCCAACTTCCTGGGACAAGAGAGACACCTTGCTGGATGCCATAAAACTCGCAGGCTCCCTGTCCCGGCTGTGAAAATGTCATCAACTTTAAAACTACCTGCAGACATTCTTGGGTACATCCAGGGTGTCATCCGCAAATAATTGAATGGCCCGAATTAAAAATCCACGAATTGTAAGGGCATGCTGTACTTGAAATTCGTACCAAAATAATATATGTCCCCATGAGTTTAGCCAATTATGATGCAGAATCATGTGCTTCAACTGGCCTCGACTGTATACAGGTATATGTAAACTGTACTGTACTGTAGTGTAGTATGTTGGTTTTCCAAGAACACGTATTCATTATTATTTTCCATCTGCTTCAGGGTTTGTGATGGTGGCTCCAGTAAGTGACTGCCGGAGTTTTCATCCTGCTTACAATGAAGAACAGAGGTTTGGCCTCATGGAACCACACTTACAGTCTCTTCTCAAGAAAAAGCATTTGCCATTGGTTAGTCTTCTATTAGAAGCCATTTTCCATTATGTTGTTTGTCTTTGAAATCTGGATTGGAAATGATTTTTTTTTCATTTAAATCATTTTCAGGTGAGAACTTTTGTTTGTTTTGAGTCCCAGCCATTCTGCAATACATTTGTAAAGGGGTATGAAAAAAGGCTTTTGACTCATAATACAGGATGGCTGGAATTAAAAATAACATTAACTGTCTCCTCATTTACTGCATTCATTCTCTCCAGCTAATGTGTTCTCTTAAGATTTTCCCATTCCATAATATGGTCTCCAGATTCCCATTTCATTTATCTATTACTTCATAAAACCCACCATCACCCACCAGCACAACCATCCACCAAGGGTGGATCTAGGGGGTGTCTATAGAAAAAAAGGGCACCTCCTAAAACAAAAAGGGCATAGTACCAAAAGAAAAGCTCTTAAAACAGATCACCAACAAGTGAGTTGAGAATAACACTTGTAACGAGTCCCGGCACTACAACATCTTGTGTTTGGGTATGTGTATTCACCCAAATTCCGTGTCTAGGAACATTTCCCCCAGCATTGGGCTCTTTTCCTCACATACTCTGTACACACGACATTAGTTCATTTCTCCGCTTCATATTTAACACACCATTGTCCACTAATGAATAATCATTTCCACTGTCTACCAAAGCCCTGAAGTTCTGCTGCAGCCAAATGTGTACAGTACATGATTAGGGACTCTCCACAGTAGACAGTCACGTTGTTCTGGCCGAATCTCCTCTTGCTAAGCCGTGCAATGACCCCTCTGGTTCGTGTGCACTGTCACACCACACGCATCCGAAGACGTGTGTCTGTTGGTACTCCCCCTCACAACACTACCATTACCCCATCGAGATCGTCCACCACCTGGGTGTGGGGCGGACTTTATTGAAAATCCGTTCCACTGAAAGGGGTTCGCTGTTTTCAATCAGGGTTTTCTCTTAACCTTTTGTAGCATGTGGTCCAATCTCCAGGATGTGTCTGAGAGCAGTAATATCACTGTAGTGCCCTGCTGCAAATAGTAGCTTGCAATTGTTGTCCCCTGCCCCAGGTGTTTCGAAAAAGGGCTGTCTGGGCTGCCCCAGAGGGGATCTGAATGGCTGACTGAATTGATGCCACCTGTTTCCACAACTCACTCACTTCACATTACAGTGTAGTGTCTAGCTGTCCAGTCATGACTTGCACTGTGACACACCCCCCCTGCTGTTCTCCACAGGCCCACTGCTTGACCTGTTGCACTAGTCGCTTGCTTTGTTGACGGAGCATTTTCAGGAATTTTTTGTACCTCTTAAGACTTTGCTGCCTGATCTGTCTCCACCCACTTTTTTCTCATTATTTGCAGCCTCATGTCATTCACCCACATCTCCTATCCACTATTATCACTTATTAATGTCACTAGTAACCAAACAATGATACCCATTTAATGACAAGGAAAAAAAAATCCCATAAAAATCCTCCAAAAATATTGGCATTTCCATCTAATAAAGTACAGTACAGTAATTTTTAGAGTTTCACACTTTTTCTAATACAGTAATTAATATTCTCCTATTATTGGTGAATCTAATACTGTTTGAAAATTGGAAAACGTCCAGGAATTTTTGGAGTTAAAGTAAACCCCCGATATAACGGACTAATTGGGGATTTGTTTATAGCTAATGGACATAAAAACTGTTTGATTTGTCACTAGCAAACTTCTCTTCCTCTTTAGTTTTATTGAATACTGATTTGTTTTACAGGGTATCCTTTCTTACCTTGAAGAGGAAATAGTGGAATTATTTGTGGCAGATCCTTCAACAGTCTATATAACTCAAGAACTGACGAGTTTTGAGCGACTCTTAGTACACGCTCTCTGTCAGTACAACATTTTAACTTCTAAAAGTAAGTGATCATATTTTTTTATTTCAAAGGTATCTTTCCAGAGTTTATTTTAGAAATTTAACATACTCTTTACAGATAACATCCTTCTGGTAGCAGCGCATGGGTTATAGTCCTAGATTGTAAACCTGTACTGTATTGTACACTCAAACTTTTCTTTTTTGTTTTCCATTAATATGGATTTCGTGATTTTTGGGGCAATTTTGGCAATGTTGAATTACTCTGCAATTTTTCAACATCGAGTCCAGTCGTGTGAATTATACAGAAGTTATCTAATTTACCCACGTGTCCGACAAATCGAAAGTTGTGGTTCCTCGCAGAACACCTCAGGCATAGCCTTATATAAGGATGTTTTTTCTGAGCATCCTTGTGCAGGTGGGAATCAGACAAGGTGAATAAATCTTATTTTTATACAGTAATACAAAACTGCTAATTTTTGCATTAACTCCCAATGTATAGTACAGTACCGTTTGTCTATTGTCAGAGGAGAAAATATCATGATTTTTCATTTACCATAATGTTCATCAATCTGTTCAGTATATCCCCGATAGATGGAACAATTGGTGCAGAACGTTTCCGTATTCGAGAGATTTCCAAGTACAGTATTGAGACGAAGCCTTATCTTCGGAAAAAATCGCACATTTACAGAATTATTCCGGGCATTGGTGAATGTTTCTGAGTCTAAACTATGCATCTGGCATGGAGCACTGTTGCTAGGGAGGCTTAACTGCAGTCAGACAGCCACAGAGCTGTATTCATTTATGCAAACACTACTTAACAGGTAAATAAATAAAATATACAACTGTATATACTCTATTCACCAGCAAATACTGTCGTCTTGAGCTTGTAGAATAATAATTATAATTATATTTATTCAGTAAAATTGTCAAGGCACTTTGTCACACAGGTTCACAGTTGGATAAGCATGTTTATAAACTATGCAGTAATACAGTTCTGTATGAATATAGACAATGTAGATATATGGTGCTTGTAGACCGTGGGCGTATATACAGTTTCCTGTATGTCGAGACAGTGCAGGTAAACAACAATGGTAAACAGTAAGGTAACTTGAGCAAGGATAACAAACAAAGCTGTCAGCTGCCTATTTCCAGGAGAGTCCTATGTTTAGGCTTATGATTGGTCTGTTATTAGTAATAGTGTCTACAGGCGTATTAGTGAAAACATTTTGATAAAATTCAACAAACATTACATTGTGCTTGGACTATCCGAGGCTGGCGGATCACTGCTACGATACAAAATTCTGTGATTAATAATATAGAAACCCACTCTCTTCTCTTGCTCTAGCTTCATATGCTATATATTTCTTTGTTTTAATACCATAACTGTTTTTGATGTGGTCTGGTAATTTGTTCCAGTCTGTTGTAGCAATAAAGAAGAAAGTTTTTCACTTGACCACAGACACCAGGTACAGTCTCACCCAAAAGTTTGTTAACTCTCCCAGCCAGCTCTTGCTGCACTGCCTGTTTCAGATGTTTGAAACTGTCTCAGTACCAACCAGAACATGAAACTGATACAAATGAATCTAAAGGTTCGAAGTAACACTCAAGTTCATACATCTGAAGCAGGCAGTGCAGCAAGAGCTGACTGGGAGAGTTAACGAACTTTTGGGTGAGACTGTACCATAAAATTTTGTTCACTCCGTCTAGTGCCTTACCAATTAATTTCCTTAATCCTTGCAAAGTTTGTTGTTAGATACTCTGGGCACAGCCCATTGGCAGTCCTGTAAGCGTGAATCGGCCTCAATTGCTTCACTCTTATCAGTCACACTTAACATGTTCAGCGATTGAAGAGCTTTGTAGCCACCATGATCTCTTACGTTCATGCTAAGAATGAACCTCACCGCATTGTTTTGAACAATTTGTAGCTTGGATTTTAACTTTTGTGTTAAGGCAGAATACCATGACGAACAGCAAAAGTCCAAGTGACATTGTATGAGCACCAAGGAAAGGGTCATATGGGCATCTACCGAGAGGAATTTAGCATTTTCATAAAGAAATTTTATTTTAGCATTACTTTTTTTTTACTATATTATCTACAATTAATTCACTAGACAAACAAGAGTCAGGATTTAGTCCAAGATATTTTGCTGAGGTTGTGGTTGAGATGATTCCTTCCCACAGAGTACTGTACTGTACATTGAATTCGTTTACCGTTTTGAGTTTTGTTTTTGATCCAAAAATTATTGCTTCACTCTTTCAGAGATGTAGGGATAATTTGTTGTCTATGAGCCAATGTTTGTGTGACTCCAGTTCAGATGATAACTGATTAGCTATATCATTTGAACACTAAAAGAGCTTTGTCATTGGCAACATACAGCCAAAGTCTACAATTAACACTTATAGGCATGTCGTTTACATAATGCTGGAAGCACAAAGATCCTAGGATACTCCCTTGTGGGACTCAACAGGGTGTTGACATATATGTTGACTCAGTATTATTTGCAACAACAATTTATTTTCTATTGCTAAGGTATGATCTAAACCAATCAACAGACTGAATGCCAAGAGCCTGTAGTTTTTAACATAGTACTGTATACTGTATCATGATGGACTGTGTTGAAGGCTTTTTGCAAGTCTAACATTACCATACCTGTGTAATTTCCCTGAGCTGTTTGGGATCTGATATAGTCAGTGAAATGCATCAGACTGGTGTTAGTTGAGTGAAAGGTCCTAAACCCTAATTGGTAACTATACAAAATATTATTCTCGCAGAATTAACGTTCCACCTGAATATACAGTACACTGCTTTCTCTAGAATTTTAGATACAACATACAGTATACTGATTGGCATGTAATTACCTACATCAGACCTGTCGCCTTTCTTATAGATAAGTTTTACTCTGGCAAACTTACTCATCTGATACAGTATTGGTACTAAGGAAGTGAATAATTAGATGTGTTATTAGTGTCTTGAATATAGTGGCATCATCCCACAAAAACCTGGCCAAGAGCAGTCTTTTTTTTTTTAATTGCGGGCATTTTCCTGCTGTTATAAAAATTAAAACCTTTTATTGCTTTTTCTTACATCATAGGTACTACCATAGCATGTGTGAGAAGAACAAAAGTGGAGAACCTTAAAAATTGCTTCCATTCTCCGGAGGTGTCGCTCACTCAGTACATTGAGACCTACTACAGATCCAAGTAACAGTTGGTACAGGAAGTTGTTAGATTATATGAAATCCTGCAGTGCTATTAAAATTGAGATGGGATTTTTTAAGCTATCATATTCATCTAAAATATAGTTCAAAATAATTACACGGAGAGCCGTAAAGTAATTGAAATTTTAATGAATTTTTGTCTGTTTTCATGACTTTTAATTTTATACTTATGGATGAAGGTATCAAGACTGTATCAACACATGTTCTGTGTTGCATTTGCAAATGCACTTCAAAGATATGGTATTCATGACTCTTAGGCTTTTCCTGTGTTATAATATACAGTACAGTACAGTTCAGCCGTAAGCAGTTCATTATGTAATACTGTACATTTGGGTAAAAATAATATTATTCTGGAGGCATAATAATCTGTTTTGTTACTTAGGAAAATGTATGAAACATGACATGCAAATATGTAATGACCATGAAACCGTGTTTTAGGACGTTCACAGAGAACTTTAAGGTATTTTCCTTGAAATTGGGTTTAATAATGTTGTGTATATCTAAATATTGTACCAGAGGCTTTTCTCAAATTTGCTGGGTTTTTATGTTTTAGTTAGTGATTGTAAAATGAATAGTAAGTGTTTAGGATAGAGTACTGTATTTTGTTTTATTTATGTATTTTTATTTTATTGTAATTGTTAAAATCTTACATTTGTTTAAGATTATATACTGTATAACTTTGAAACCATTTATAACGAAGGAGGGAGTACTGTACTCAGTGCTTACTACCCTGCCGTTTGAACCTGTTGTTCGCCTTCTGTACTTTGCTGTTATTCCACATTTAGCGATAATTTCGCTTAACATTTGGTCCACCGCCTGCCACCAAAAGCTTCAGGTCGGGATCACTGAGGTCCTAGGGCATGTCAACTGTAAATACAATACTAGTGATATAGGTGTCAGTTAAAAGCGCAATTTTCTTTTCACACCACAAATCAGTTTTTAGTTCAATTGTGAGGCGGGCACAGCCGTTGTAAATAACTCAATACGGCAAAGTAACGACAAAATTGCTTTAAACGGTTGAATGTTTGGGGAGACCTTTCATTCTCACCATGATGCAACGTTGCCATACACCACCTCCCTCCCCTTCCTGCTGAATTATTTTTGTCCACAACTGCACATATTAGATCCAACCCTGCATATAAACAAGGGCCTCCTGTACATTAGTACTAGCAACTGATGGAAATCCACGTACCGTATTGTAATAACAAAACATTATTTTCAGTATTGAAAATGAGTTGCACTTCTTTTTGGTCAGTGATATAAAAGACAGTGTAATAGTGAGAAAGCCCTCTGTTGATGGTGGTTAATAAGTTCATTCTTGAGTGTGTGTGTAGTGTGTATTCTCCATTTAATGACAAATGTCCATTTATATTGAAATAGATGTGTTGTTAGCGTGCTCCTCCATCTGCTGTACCTGTCACTTCCCACAAGCCAACACTTCCTTCCATAAAAATCACTTAACAGTTTGATCTTGACTCATTCATGTATGTACTATATATAATGCTGGCTCCTGGATGTTCATTTCCTCTATCTTTTTCACAGTTTGAATATTGACGTCAAATGATTGTTACACCCCTCATGGATTTAGGCAGCTAGTTTTTTTTTTTTTTTTTTATAGGTCACTGACCCACATCGGGCCTGGGAGGAATAATAATAATAATAATAATAATAATAATAATAATAATAATAATACAGGTAATAATAGTAATTATTATTATTACCGGTATTCATAGTAAATGAAATTTATAATAAAATAAAAACAAAATTTAAAATAAAATAATAATAATAAAGAACCACAAAGAAAAAAATAGATCAAAAGTGAGAAACAATATACAGTACTGTACTGTATGTATGTTGTGTTGTAAATAGTTAGAGAAACAAGTGAGACCCTGCAGTTGTGTGTAAATGAGGCAGAAAGTCAGATTAGCAACTTGGGACTTGGTCACAATTTTTGTGATGCCATATGGCAGCAGGGTCTACCATTAGACAACACATTATGCTTCCAATATCTTCCCAGGCGGTAGTACCTCCCTGTTTGGTAGCTGCCATGTCTACCAGTAACCACCTTCATTAACATTTATTTTTTTCAAATATGAAGCATCAATTAAGCCTCATGTTCGCCCTCTGTGCTTTGTTGTTATCCCTCATTTAGCAATAATTTTGCTTCATGTTAGGTTTTCAAAAATGCAACCCATCGTTAAATGAGGGATATCTGTACACCAAGACTATGTATATTTTGCCTTACTATCACCATATATATTTTATTTTAACCCTCTTGCACACGAGATAAGTTAAGATTTCCATTTCCAAGATCACATCTCTGAGGACCCCCAAGACAGTGCAAGGTGAATATTTTTTCTTGCTTTATCATCCCCCCCTCCCCCATTTTTTTTTATTGGCATAAACCATATATCTTTGACTTTGTAGCTGATTGCTCTACAACACAAGCAAAAAAATGCACACCAATATGTACACAACCTCCTAGTTCAAAATTGTGAGAGCCAACTTTTTAAATACTTGACACTGCTAGAAGCAGAATTTTTGAGCTTTCCAACACAGCAATCAGATTACTGACCTGATCAAGAGTTTTTGAGAAAATAGCAAAAAGCCAATTCTCAAATGGTAAATTTTGTTTTCTTTTTCGATTATTTTTGGCTTATATTTTATATCAATATAAATTATATTGCATCTTATAGCAAACACTACAATATAACAGAGAATGGTACTGACAAAATTCATGTATGTCTAGAAAATCATCCTCTTTCAGAAACTTTTTCCTCAAGAGTTGCCACTTAGTTTATTTGATAGAACTTACTTGCTACAATGACACCTCAAAATTTGACATAATTCTGTTGAAAACTTAATTTTTGGCGAATTTTTTAAAGTTTGGTGAATCTATTAGCATCACCGTGAAGTTGGTCTTATCATGAATATGATGCGAATCGTGTCATCAAGCGTGAGAGGGTTAATTTAAATCTTCTTTTGCTATAATTACACGAAATGATAGTACAGTAAAAATCCTGAGTACCAGACCACCTGAATAATGACATCATGATAACAATACAAATCTTGGAAAAAATATTAAAAAATTAGAAGAAAAAAATATCTTGTCATTGTTATTGTTCTGGAGTGACACATCACAACAACTCAGCCACACTGTACTTACCTACATCTGTTCATACTTTAAATAAAAGACAACTGAATTTACTAAAAGTTTATCATAAGAATGATAATATTATTTGAACTAATTTATTATGAGCTTAAATAAGCCAATCTGTGTGTGTGTAATATACTGGCTGTTGTTTTGAAGAGTTGTGCCTCCCTGCTGATATGGACGTCTGATTAATGACATCACTGTGGCTTAATTAGTCTGGTACTCTGTATCATTACTGTCTGAAAGGTGTGTTAAAAACCCCTAGGACTGATAGTCTGATATATTGCTCATAGAATTTTTATTAATATTGCTATGATGAAAAAAATTCACAAAAACTTAGAATATGCATTTTTAATTACTGTACTGTATTTTAATTGTATTGCCTTAAAATTGACACAGGGGGTTCCCGAGTTACAAATGAGTTCCGTTCTTGAGGACGTTCTTAAGTCGGATTTGTTCGTAAGTCGAACACATGCGATGTGCATACCGTACTTACAGAACAATGTTTAAAATCCCACTATATCATGGCCCAAGTCCTTATATACATCTACAATCACTTAATTTAAGACAAAAGAAGAAATAGAATAACAAAATACAGTAAATGAAAGTACAAAAATAAGCCATCAGGTAAACAAAATACTGTACTGTAAATTTCAAGTTTAACTCCGTTCGGTTCGTATCGGCGGACGTTCGTAAGTCCGGGACCTCCTGTGTTCTAGATACTTGTGCACAGTAGAAGTGAACATATCTTTTCAAAGTACCAGTGTTTATTTAGCACAGGAATGCTTTGTCTTTTGTAAGATATATTCTTTTCAATTTGATGTGTGATAACTATATTTATTGTTTAATTATCCTTAAATCCCCCAGACTTGTATAGGCTGAATTTGTGGACATAGTCACTATCAAAGTGTAACATTTATAATGTGCAGCCTGAGGATGAGGGTACATGTGTATTCCGAGATAAAATGTGCTCATAACCGAGCCTTCCTACAGCAAGCATCTCTACACTGGCATTCATCAAATTGATGCAAACATCAGTTACACAGCACACAAATCGTTATTTCATATTCAAAACAATATAAATCCAATGCATATGAATTTCTTATAGGGATTGTACAGCTATACCAACCTATTTATTTGGAAATGGAGTAAATCTTTAGTGTAGATGGAAAAAGACAGCTTGATAGAAAAGGCTTGAAAAGCCAAGTCAATGGGAATTCCAGAGGTAAGACACAAGGAGAGTGATTGAGTCATTTGTAGAGGAGGTTCTGCTTAAACAACTAGAACTGGCAGATGTCCACCCCACAGCTCTAGGTTGAAGAACCCACAAGTTCATAAAACTGTGAGGGCAAACTTTTTCGAAGTGAGAGTTGTGAACTCTTGGAACAGTCTGCCAGAGGGTGTTGTGTTGACACCGAGTGTGAGCTCATTGAAGCCAGACTTGACCAACACTGGAAGGGGTTCCATTATATTCAGGAGCCAGCACATGCCAACAGTGAGTAACAGACGTGATCGACCGCTCAAGTGGCAAACAAGACGATCAGTGGTGAAGAGGATTAAAGTAAAAGTCAGTAGAGGTAAATGTAAGTCTGTGTAAGCCCTGTAAGTTGACAGTAAAAGAATTCAATGACACCCAAAAGAGAATCTATACTATTTTTGTCCCAAATCAGGTACAGTAGTACAGGTAGTTCTGCTATAACGCGATCATTGTGTTCTTGTAAAACATCGTGTTATAGAAAATTGCATAATAGAAATAACAGGGCTTATGGAGAAAATAGGGTTAGGTGCAGATTACTCCAAATCGAAAAAAATTTCATAGTTAGCCTAACACAAAGGATAGCACAGTCTAAATAAATGTAACATTCATATCTAATAATGAAATCATACAGTAAATGTTACACTTTACCTTGAAAAAATATGAATATAACTTGATGGGGGAGAAGGGTGATGTTGAGGAGTCATGAAACATCAAGCTTTTCTTCAAGTGTTATAGCCTTTCTTTTACGATCACCAGAGTGCTTCCCAGAGATATTCTTCCTTTCCATAGTCACAAGATTAGAGAAACAGTAATAACAGTTCACTGAGGACACTTAAAACTTCACACAGTGTGGAGTAAACAGAGCCCGCGGGTCTAAAACGTTATGGATTTTGTTTTTCTCTTATTTAAAATTTCACATTTTACATATACTGTACAGGTATACTGTATACATAAATATTACATAAATTATTTCTGCAATTCTTCACAAATAAAACACATTAATCAATTGAACAAGTGATGTTGAACGTGAACTGTAAACATTGAGCCAAGCCACAATGTACAGTACACTTTAACACTTTAAACGCTACTTATTTAGTTTTTCTCTTTTATTTAGAGCGCCCACAAGACATGAGAGCCGTTTGAGTGCCCCAGTAGGTGTCGTTCTCTAACACTCCAGGATGTGTTAGTCCTACGTTTTCTTTTGGTGTACTCGCTCAGGGACTCAAGTATAACACACGATGATAAGGGAATTTGAATTTATTTGTTTATTTATTTATTTATAATATACTGCAATATATTAAATACACTGCAAGTATTTTCTTTAATTTATGTACATTTATGGTGATCGTTAAGGACCAAACTCCGGATCCATGACGTGACTTGTTCATCATTTATATCCTAAATTTACCACTGTAGGTAGTTTCAAGAGTTAACGCAGTCATTTACTGAATATTCTTTGCAAAAAACTAAATTTCAAATGAATTATTTATAGGAGTTAAGTATTATGATCAGTTAATATACAGATATGCATTACTGACCACCACCTAACACAAGGACGGCTACAGGCGGTCACAGTCAAGGTCACTTACCCTTTCTTGTCACTGTAGGACCTTGTGAGTGGTTTACTGTATACATAAATATTACATCAATTATTTCTGCAATTCTTCACAAACAAAACACATAACTCAATTCAACATGTGATGTCGAACGTGAACTGAAGCCATAACAACCGTTCGAGTGGAATCACGTTAGAGCAAACGAGCTCGCGTTTTACAAATGTCGTTCCTCAATTCATAAATCGCGTTAGAGCAAATTCACGTTGTCAAAACACGCGTTATAGCAGAACTCACTGTACCCCGATTTATGCGGTCAATTGAACCCACAGTGTACCGCGGAAAGTGAAATCGGCGTAAATGGAACAACAGAACATATGGGATTAATTCCAATAGAGACTGGCCCAACCCCCAAACTCCACTTTTTGACGACACACAACTATGTTGTAGTAAAAATTTTATCTTAACTTTATGATGGTATGCACAAACAAGTAATAT